ACGGTGCTGCTGTAACTGCTACGACTTAGAACTGTTCTAAAGACGGTGTTGCTGTAACTGCTACGACTTAGAACCGTTCTGTTCTAACGACTTAAAACGTATTACTAAAGCGTGTACTAATTTGGCGGTGGTAGAGTAAATTCTATATTTTTTGTATTTAGAGTCTAGAAAATTGTTCATTCCTCCTATTCACAACACTCTAAGACTAAAAACCTTCTTCAGAAAATAAAAGAAAAAACCCTAGGACTTGGATGTGGCACTTGAAATTGTCTTCTTTACTGGCCTTCAGCAGGATCCTCAACCGTGACACTGCTAGTATTGACTTTGTTAGCAAATGTCTGAAAACTGACCCACATATCATTTTCAGAAGAATTAAAATTCTGCTGACCAAAGTAAACCAGTGAATAAATTTCATGAGTGATCGGACAAAAATCGTTAGAGTGCAAAAAAATAGCACTAGAGTGTATCTGAAGGCTTGAAAGTAAAAAGTGAAACATTGCACGACCTAGTGCAATCCAACGGCTCTGCCTATTACACCGCCAAATTAACCAAGCCAAAATTTGTTCCGGTTTAGAACCAACGGGTCCTAGATATAAATGAAGGGCAAATAGCTTAGAAAGCGACAGTTTTTGAAAATTTAATGGAAATAAAAAGAGAGAAACTAGCATTGCGCGAACCGTAAATTGACCCAAAATGAGCCTCAAGATGGTAAAAGAAGCACATACCAAACAAAGGTATGTTGCATGAGAATATGGGAAAGCTGAAGGGATCTGGCAGTGGATTGAGTAGGCAGGGACAGCAATGCAATGAGTGGTATTTACTTGAGAACAGGTAAGGTTGGAGTTCTAAAGATTCAGAAGGGATGAAACTAGAAGCACATTCAAACTCTTCTATCGAGCAAAATAAATTTTTTAGAGCACCGGTCACAAAATGTGACAAAATAATGAAGTACGTACCCAGAAAAAGAGGTAGTCGGAAACAATCTACTTAACAGAGTCAACTTCTGTATGGGGAAGAGCAGATAGGTTAACAAGCTTGATACTCAGAGGAGTTTAATGATTAGGTACGGCTCATTTTAAACTCAGATTTCCGATACTTACACATTCTGCAACTGGATGTATCTGGCCGAGTCAGAAAACATGTCAGGAATGGAACCTCTTAATGGCAGTGCACCTGAAAAGGTAGAACAAACAGCTTGTCATCTTACATTTAAATGCAGCTAGAGTCAAAAACTGGAGCAACTGGTTACTAGATTTGTCCCTATTTCCAACAGCAGATTTCTCTTCATGACCTCCCAGTTTAGGGCAGGTTTTGATAACTTGAAGATAATTTGCTGTTCTTTAAATGCTTGCTTTCAAAATGTTGACTGTTGACAAAAACAAAACTCTCCCAAGCTTAATTTACTCCAATGTTTTTTCTTTTCACTTTTCTCAATCGAATTACTTTCCTTCTATTTAATCTTACACCAACACAACTACGAATTTCCTACCACAACATAAAAAACAAAATTCGTAAAATCAGCAAAAAGATAATGAGTAACAACAGTTGAGCTTACAATTTTGCTATATGGATAGTTAAACAATTGATTTCTCATAGCAAATGTCTCGTTTAAAACTACAGAAAAAAGGTAGCACTGCATTTTGAAGACCTCACAAGATACGCGTATAAATCTTTCAAATAATACATTCATCACAGCAGATGTGGGAACTTTAGTAAGCCACAGGAAGTCTGCTGAATAAGGTAGTAACGTGTAACGCATTTTTTTAAAAGGTGAGATGACCCAAGCTTGGCTCATTCATCAGTTTAATTTTTGTATAAGTTAAGTCCAGCTATAAAAAATGGATACCATTAAACATAACAAGAAGTAATTATACCTGAATTGCTGTGAAACTCCTTCACTGCTCTAGCGAGAATCCAAAATTTCAAATGCTATAAAAAAGGAAAGAAAGTTAATAAATAGACAGTTCTGCTAACAAACTCTTTATGATTCCGGTGTGAGGTGTACTTTCATATTCTTTACGGCCTAGTTGTCTAACACTCTCGCTAATTTCTTTCCAAGAGCACGTTATGGAAACCCCATAGAATATGAAAAACGAACACACGATCAATTAATAACGAGTTACATTGTAATGAACTTGATAGAAGTTCAACAAAGGCGATTTGATTATTTAGCCAAATGGAATTTTAAGAAATATTTTAGTAGCTAGGAAAGTGGAAAATATTGGTGAATACAAACTTAGAGTATAAATAAGAATGATATGTACAAAAATACTCACTGGCTCTGAAGGGTGTTGACAGCGATGAGAATTGAATATTTCATTAACATGGCTTGGTATCTTGAAGAAAACGGGAGAATAAATCATACAAACATATAGAGACAATTAGGCGAATTGCAGTTGATTCTGGCTATAGTAAAAAAAAATGTTTCTAGAACAAACTATGACTAATTTATTCACCAAAGTGTTGCAATACACAGGATTTCAAATTAAACCCTTATTACACTAAAATGAGTCAATTATGCTAGGTCTTGTAACTCCGCTTTACAATGCAATGAAATCTCAAATTCTTGCAAAAAGTAGCACCAGACTTGTTTTCCCATACCTTTGTGTTAACCAGAACGTTGTTGACATTTTTAACAGCCTCGTCAAAATTTTCTTCGAGTTCCTCAACACCTTGGTCATTTTTCATGACTCCTAAAAGCAAAGCGTTAAAACATGCTAAAATGAATTATTCAAAGAGAATCTAGCCTAAGAAAGATTGTAACCAAGTAGTGACATGTGGCGGATGTAGCAAGGTCTTAAATTGACATACGGCTAACCGATAAACTTTCTGAAAAGACTTTAGCATACTAGCCTGTAACTTTGTTCAACAATTGAATTCGATATTATGTTCAAAATAGTCGAGGCTGCGCGTAGGCCATACCTTACAAACAGACTGACATATGTTTGTGATTCAAGACAATTATATTAGTCGAAATCAAAACTGAAGATTGCTTGACGATAACTTTCTACAAATTGAAACGTTTGTCTTAAAAATATTATGAAGGAAAGGGTCTTCTGCATAGTATTACAGACTCAGGAAAACATTGCTTAAGTCATTTGCATACAAAAGGATTTCAGTCTCTACTAACAATAATATATTGACTACCTTGCGATATCATTTCACGAAAGGCTGTTTTCTCCTTGAAATTCTTAGGCCAACAGCCACCATGCTGGAAAAGAGAGTTTTGAAAATTATAATAGACATAAACTAGGACAGATTTTTATTTGGTTTCCCAAATCAAGCTGCATTTACTTGCTTGTTAAGCAACATATTTCTCTAGAAAGAAAAGTTGTAGAAAGACATAAAAAAAAGTTGTCTGACGATCGCATTAAGCGTAAAACTCGGAGTAGCGACTTCAAACCCTCCTGTTATATCCACCGAATCGCGTATTTCTCTCATCGTGAATTTTTAGTTTGAACTGAGAATTTTCTATGATACAAGACCCCGTTATCCAGCATTTTGCAGCACTATCCTAGCAGGGTAGCAACGTGATTCTTGCAAACAAAAACTTTTTGAAAAAAGTCAAACTGAAGTGTAGCGTAAATTACATGTTTGGTACATACGGGATGTTTTCCAGAAAGGGTTAAAAATCCCAAAGAAATCTTCGCAGTAATATCTACTACAAGACAGGGGCAGCGGCAGAATAATTCAAAATAGGCAGATCTCAAAATTGCTGGATGCGTAAATATAAAATCACTTATTACATAAAATATAAAAATAACGAATATTATTCCATGTCGAAGTTATATAATGTGCTGGACTCTGGTTTTTACGTCTCGGGAAATAATCATAATTTTGATTTTGCGGTGTTCTTTTCTCCTGAATTATTCCCAGCCAAATAGTAATTGAGTGAATAGTTAAAAGGCTCGCAAAAGGTCAGTTTACCTCATTCTTCCATTTCTCCAAATATTTGTAAATAATAACGAGGTACGGTGTATGACTATGATCCTGTAAAAAAAGACAAAGTTTTATCTGAGAAAGTTTTGTTAACAGATCAATAACAATAAAAATTCATCTTATGGAAGCGTAATCGTGTAAACTTTTATTGTTCGCAACAACTATTGTTTCTGCCCCTTTTCTGGGCGGCACATATAGGCTGCACTGTGATTTCGCTGTTTTGTCAACCACAATCTCCACTATAAACATTAATTAGCACCTAGAAAAGTTGCACTTTATCAAGACACAGAAACGCGGTACATCTTAAAATTATAGTCACAATCTCTTCAATAGTCCTTGGAACACTCTTTAGCTTAAGTCTTCGTTTGAAAAATAGCTGCTCCTGGTAGAAAGACTCGACACTGCACCACCTTCTTCCGAAACAGTGTTGATTGCAGAGTAAGATATCGTGACTATCTGCAAGGAATCCCTCATCATAGCTACCTATCATTGCATAAAAAGCAGTGCTCGAAAGGGAAGAGAAGAATGCAGTATGATATATTAAATTGACAGGCATTGTAGCTTGCCAACTCCTTGTTAGTGTTATTCAAATACTCAAAGCTTAGCAAAATTCAGTGGTACATGCATCTGATGAATAGCTTTACGATCAGGGGCGGACACTTGGTCAAATATTGGGGGGCAAGCCTATTGTTTTAATAAGATGACGTCACATTTCCCATTGTTTTGAAGCAAAAGAGCATTGTCCTCTAAAGTCGCCCCCCTTGCCCCCCAGGTGTCTGTCAATGTGTACGATTAGAATTACTTCCCACTGGAAGGAGGCACCTATTTTCTATTGGTTACTTCTGAAAGAATCGGACAGAAGCAGGGACGCAGGAACAACGGAAGGGCATTGGCTGCAGAAAAAAGGCATTTTAAAAAAAACTTCCAGTTTCTACTGATTCTTTTGCAACTGGCATTGTATTTCGATCTTCTGTAGGCATCTTGTAAATGGGCTACCTTCTTTCATAAGAAATGTTTTACAAGTTTGGAGAAATTTTGTCATGAATAAGGCACTACAGTCAAGATTTCATATAAATCTCTTTATTAATTACAGAAGGCCGAACCAAAGGGCACAATTTTGAAAAGAGCGTCTTGGTCCCCCTTGCCCCTCCTATCAAAGGGTTGCCCCTTGTGCCTCTGCGCCCCCTCTTCGGCATTCCTGGACAGAAGTGTGATCATTGTTAAGTGGTGCCTATTAATAAATGCTTCACTGCATACCTGTTTGTCCATCGATGCCAGATCCATGATATTCATGTATTCAACTAGACCAGGAAATGGCATATCAAGTCTCAAATCCTCGTGAGAATTATCAGGATGAGCTTCTACCACTGAGAAAAGAAACAAAAATATTCAAGATACCCAGATTGGATAACTGTGGATCAAATTATAAAAAGTGCTGGAACGCAAACTGGTAAGGATGATCTGTTTTTCAGTGAAGGAAAGAATGAGATTTAATAGCTATTATTAAGAATATGGTTGAAAAATCAGGTTGAAATGGTTCTTATTTATTGGGTACAAAATATATTATTTCAGGCTGTACCTTCTTGATAAATGAAGGTTCATATGTGCGAGTTTTTACTGTAAGAAAGATCTGGCGGCTAACGAAAGTTTGGTAATGTCAGTGACACGAACCGCAGACCCTTTGTTCTGTAATCTGAGTCATCCTCGCATACCAGTGACATAATTTATGTAGAACATACACCTCCGGTCTCTGGCCTAAGCTCCAGCTCATCAATACAGGGGAAATTGAAGGGGGAAACCAATACAACTTGAGATTCAAAAGCAATAAATTCACCTGTATGCTCCTTCACAACCAATCGAATATATCCAATGTAGCCCCGCACTTCGCAGATCAGCAATGGTATGTTTGCTCGCCATAACAAATCAGATAGCTTGAGAAGATCACTAAAACACAAAAGCGAATTGCCTTTATGATTGATAGCAAATTGATAGCACAGAAAGGCACAGGAAATTTGAAACAACACGCTCTTTATTATCTTAACAAAAGCAGCAGTGAAACATTAACTCCAAACATAAATTGTAAAAGCTTTCGCTTCTCATTAATCATATTCCATTGAATTTTCCCCAATCTCTCACTCCTTCCCCAGTCTTTTAATACCCTTTTCTCTTGCTTTCATTACTTCTAACATAATCTCATTTCTTAACTTCCTTTTTTCAATCCATTCCTTCCGTTCAAAGCCCCTTCGTTGTGATGCCCTTGACTAATTCCCCGTCTTTTCACCCAATCATTCCCCCCCCAGTTTATCAACTTTGTTTACTTTCATCGATTTTACTTTCCCTCGACCTCGTCTTTACCACAATAAGGCCATCAATTTCCTTTTCTGAAAAAATCCAAGCAAGCAAACTACATTTTTCGCAATGCTGGTAAGACAAATTTTTAAAATCCTGGCTGATACACGATAATTTATCTAATCTTTATCTAATTTGATGGCGAAATATATCTAAAGAGCCCCTAGCAATCGATTCACAGGTTCTACATAACGACTTAATGTCAACATCCACAACAGATGAAATTTAAAACTAAAGGGTATTTCGAATGCTTTTTTGTAGAATAGTATAAAGTGACATTTCATATTATTATATTTCATTAATTCTTTGTGAATCTTTGCTATCACAAACCAAGACACGTAAAAATAATATAACTATTTAACATAACATGTCATCAAACGGCTAACATATTTACAATGTCTTCTAATAGAGTTATAAATTAGATAGGTTGCAAATATTCCTTGGGACTTTTTGAAGTCACTTGACTTTACTGACTTCACTTTCAACCTCATAAAAATATGTCTAAAACTTTCAGTTAAACACATCAACTCTGGATATAAAAAAAAATAAAAGTTTGCAAGACTGACTTCTCATTTAGGTCTGAAGCAATAACAATTGTGAACTCTTTGTAAAACTCAGGATCGTTTTCCACCAGCTCTCCAGGATCCTGAAAAATGCCCAATTTATATTCAAGTTTGATTCCCAAATGCCCAAGCTATTTATTATCTTAGTTTGATAGAAACAAACTTCTAGTTATTAATACCAATGGCCAATACACAGAGGCAAGATGTTTAGAAAGTAGTTTAATCTTTAACACAATTTCATCCTCATCAAAATCTTGATGGGTAAAAAGGTATTTTCATTGACTAGAAGTGACGAGCAAAAAGACTCATCTCATTCTACAGTTCATCCTTTGTTTATTTAAGGTACACACTTAAATAACATCCTCTCCTAGGAAGAATATAATTAAAATATAAGCCCCATGCACAATCATTCAGTGCAATACCAAATTCCAGCAGTGACTTTTGCAGGCAAGGAATATTGTCTAAAGCAGATGACTTAACTAGCCAAATTGTTCAAATTACCAGCTGTAAACAATTTAAAAAATAATTGCCTTAAAATTTGCAAACAGCTGTTGAGCGATTTCTAATGCAACAAAGATTTAAAATAATTAAAAAAAATGTGACAGACAGAGGCTTTGAATAATTCATGAGTCTTTTCGCTCTAAATTTTGAAAAAAAATCAAATATTTGAGCAGTGGTTAAATAGTTTTGCATTTGAAATGGCTTTGCAAAAAGCAAACATCTTACAACATACAAAAAGCTTTTTCGTCTGACACTCTTATGAGTACAAAACATCAGAATAACGGTCCAAAAGCACAAGATGGAAAATTTACCCTTATTCGGATTTCGTTATACTCTGAGGACAAAAAGCTTTTAGTATGTTGTAAAATATTTGCTTTTTCAAAGCCATTTTCAGATTTTGTTCTGGCAAAAATAGTTATGTATTTATTTGATAATTAGACAAACCTGGGTCAGGAAACTCCCATGGACATCTTCATTCAGCTCTTGGAGTAGTTTGCAAGCACACTCAGCTCTTGGCTAGGGCAGAGAAAACTTTGCTACACCACATGATTTAGATTTAAATTTCAGAACAGGGAATAATGTCAGAGGGCACAGGGGACTAAACTCTCAGCTAAGGTATAGCAAGGAGAGGCAGGTCTAGCATATTTCTGCCTTTTCTTACCAGAATACTACATCTGCTTCCAGAAAGAGATTTTCATCAGAAAGAAAAAATTGCTATGTATCTTTCTTACCTTTCCAAGGCTGTCAATATCCAAGAAAAAACTGAAATAGAAACAATTTTGTGAGCAAAAATCAAGATAAGTAGGAAAGAGATTAAAAAAGGGGAATTTGGGTCAGGGTTGAGTGTTACAAACAGCTGGTAACATGTCTACCTGCTAACACTCAGTGCCGATACTACCCTTGTGGTTGAGTGGTCTGGCATTGTCTAGTAAAGAGGGTGGCTGACAGCCCCACAGAACGGGCAGCAAGACTTTTCAAAGGTATGATATCATATGCAACAAGCCAGCAGCCAGTTAGAAACTTGACATTCTTTCTGGATACAGATGATCCACTCTTGAAGCAGAATGGTGCAAGCAGACACAAATTTAAATCATTCAAGAAACAGTGCAACGTAAACATTCACAGAACATTTTTTCACACAAAGAGTTGTGAATTGACAGAAACAATTTAATGAGTGAAGTTGTCAACTCTTAGGAAGTGTAACAATTTGAGTGAGCAAAAGGATTGATTAAAATATACAGACAATCCAAGTATGCTTGATACAGTCAAGTGATGGATCATATAGGGTTTTATAGGTTGCTAAAACCTATCATTTTCTTAAGTCCTTATATTATTAAAATTTTTATGATGCTATATAATAAGGCTTCCAAAACACTTGAAAAAATCATACAAGTATCAACGAATGTAGGGGAGTGGTGATGTAGCCTCATAAAGTTTAAAAATGATCAAAGTTCATAGCCAATTGACAAAAATCAATGACACTTTAGAAAAGTTTTGAAAACAAAATAAGCCAGCAGCCCAAATTTTGGGTCCCTTACTTGCCTTGAAAAGCAAAATGAAATGTATATGTATGTGATATAATCTAAACATTTTAGTACATTCTTTAAGCAGTGAACAAATTAAACATATTTTCATACTTATTTCCCAAGTCCTCTTCCTTTACATTTTGCTTATCAACAATTACAAATTTCCCAATACCTGAAAGATAATTAAATAATTAATAATTCAATAAAAGCAAGAAAAGTCCCTACTTAGAAGTTTTAATGAGCAAATGGATTTGTTAAATTACCATTTTAAAAAATAAACATTCAAAAACAGTAAACCTAATTGAAAATATTCTATCAGAAACCCATCAATTGAGATTTAGATAATAATCTTAAAATCCAAAAATCCCTTTTCAGCTTTCGATAAACCACAAAAAATAAATCAAATTAGCCATTACCTGGAAGAATCAGACACTTTAATGCTTCAACTCCTGTGGAGGATGCATTTATCAAGCAGACTTTTGCATTCTCAAGCTCCTTTTGACCATGATCTCCCCACAGCCTAAAGTTTGATTTAAACAGATAAAGGTGCAGTGGAAAACAGGATTACAATTACACATACTTAGGTATATAGGTTACTTTTTATATCAATAAACAGGGCAGAAATATCTAGAAAATGTTTAATACAAGCTGCACTACTCTATAAAAAGAGCCCCTGGGGTGAAATGATTGACTAAGCATGAACGAGATCTGCAACTGAAAACTGCTGTGAAGTGAAACAGCATCTTTTTTCCATCAAATACCAGTCTTGAATATCTCTACCAAATAACTTTCTTCCTTTTCTGATCAATTCTAATCAAGTTAAAATTTGATGAATAATAAGGTTCTTTGCTCAGGGGGTGCTTTCTCCTCGATTAGTCTATCTACTGAGAGAGCTCCTCCTCAAATAAATTCTTCTCCCTACAAAAGTCCATTTCAGTAGTATGTATAATTTGTGTTGTATTTAATTACTATTGTATTTTTTGTTTTTAGTTGTATTGTTGTCAGGCTTTTGTATGTAGTGGAATTTTAAATATGAAAACTTGAACTTGAACTGTCATACTCTACAAACTGGCCCCTAAGTAGCTGAAACAATTAAAGGGACTCTCAAGACTGGGTGAAGTTCTATGCTTCTAGATATCACTTCAACAACTGAAGTTCTGGACAGTTCAACAAACTGTCATACTCTACAAACTGGCCCCTAAGTAGCTGAAACAATTAAAGGGACTCTCAAGACTGGGTGCAGTTCTATGCTTCTAGATATCACTTCAGCAAATGAAGTCCTGGACAGTTCAACAAAGACTTGATAAGGGGCATTGCCAAACTCACCCTTCAATTAAGGATCATTTCAGCACATGCCAGGTGAAACTAATCTCAAAACACTGTTGCACAAACACTGGCCAGGTGAAAACAATGGCACATGTTGTGGCACAATAACAAAGCTGTCAAAATCTGGCATGTGTGCAACAACCAGAATTTTAATTATAATTTGAAGTACCTGTCCCTTTCTTTAACAATTATTTAAAATTATAAAATACATATTATTAGTGTGTAAAGGTTGTAAAATACATATTATTATTGCATATATGTGATCTAAAAAAATGAGCCATTTAATCCTTGCCCTAAACCTTTGATGAACTCATTCATCTTATAACTGAGTATAAATACCTCAATTGTCTATCATATTTCTTTTCCTTATCAATATTGTCTTTGTTTTCTCCGGTTCGTGACATCTTTGATATTGATTCTTGTAAGTTACCTTCCTCTGTTTCTTTCCTTTTCATTTTCTAATCAGTCATTCTGAGCTATATTAAAATTGAAAATAAATATGTCTTTGACTTTCTTTTCCAGCGTCGAAATCCTTTCGATTAGAAATTGTTCTGCCACCAAGAAACACCTCCCAAATAAACACACAGATGGTACAGACAGATGGTCCGAACTTGGTAGCAAAAGAATCGGCAAGTAAACCACTTCCTGTAACTCTATGACGCTGTTACTCCTTCCTCAGATACTGATTTCGGTTTTGCTTAGCATCAAGCTGTTTTCTTCCAGGAAGCTTGTCTCTGAATTTCAAAATCAGGCGCAACTTCTCAAAGACCAAGTTGCACGAAAGCGTTTCCAAATCATCGCCTCGTTTTAATTTTACATCCTTCCCTCGGAATAGAGTCAGTTTTCATGGCAACGAATGAAAAGCGGTGATTTGTTATTAAAATGGCGGCTGAGAAGGTAGGTTTTCACAAAATTCTTTCAGAAATAATCATAGACAAAGCGTTCTTTCTCAACTTAGCGAGAAATAATTTAAATAGGCTGTATTGATAAGCCTGAATAATTGCGAAAGCATTGCTGCTTTAGATTTCGAAATCATAGACAACGATAGGCCATCTTTTCATATTACCAGTTCCTTGTTATTTTCTAGTTGTTTATTTCTCATGCAGTTCTCATCTAGTTTTCTTTAAGATATACAATAAAACGTAGATGTTTTCTATTCCCTTTTTGGATCTTCATAAAGATTCTATACTCATCAATTTTAAACGATTCCTAGCATAAACTTGATGGGCGATAATACTACTTCTTGTTGCCTTATGTCACTAGGTACGTACCTCATTACAGATCAATACCTCATTAAAGATCCATGTTTGAAAGAAAAATATTGTTTGAGCTCATCTTATAAAAAGCAGACAACAAATAACATGTCATAAAATAGATTTGCGTGTTGTTACAAGCTGATTCATTTCCTAGGCTTTAGAAGAGCAATGTCGCAAGAAAGGGATCAAAAGAGCAACAGATGTTGAAGAACTTTATTTAGGAAAAAGGTAAACGTATTAACTTTTTATTGATATGCAAATATTTTGTGACTATAGTGATTATTTTTTGTTGAAATTGCATAATTTAACACTGCAATGTATAACGATACGAAGTAGAACTCATCATGGCTGTTGAGTGAGGTACCCTATAGAAGCTTCCTCTAATGGCGATCTACAGTTTTTGATTCACGTGAAAAACCTTTGAGAATGAATTTAGTATATTTTTACTTTTAAGTAGAATCCTCATTATCATGCTCATTTTTAAATAACAAATAATTTGATTATCTTTATTTGCAGCAATATCGAAGAAGCTCCAAATTTTGCAAAATTCAAGAACTTAAAACGGCTTTGGCTAAACAAGAACCAGGTATGAAATGTTTGATTTGAGCTTTTTGCTTTTTTAAATTTCACTATACAATAAGTCACTTGGTATATTTCTGTTGAGTTTTTATTGAAAGTTTAAAAGATGTCACACGTGATGTCAAATATCACTTAGAAAAGATCCTATTTTTTGCAGAGTAAAAACAATATGCTATTCTTGTGTATTTTATATTAGGCTGAATTCAGCTAACTTTTTTATCTCTGCTAAATGAAAATGATTGATCGTAACACAGAAAAGCGGAAACTTACCATACCAAAGTACTTTTTGCCTGAAACTCCATAGATATAAAACTCCGGATAGTGACCAAAGACACCCAGAAAAATGACACTTTAAATAAAGAATATCACTGTGACAAATCACAATAGCTTGTTATAATTTTCATTGCAGCTTTATCGATTGCAAGGATTGGAGTGCAATTACCATCTGACTGAGCTTTATTTAGAAAACAACATGCTTACAGAAATCAACGGAAGCATCCAGCAACTTACTTGCCTGCAAATTTTATTGCTACATGGAAATCAACTTCAATTTTTAACTGATGTTATTCATGAACTTAGATACATGCAAAGTCTCAAAACACTCAGTAAGTGCGTTCGATTTTGAAGATAAATTTGCCAAGATGCAAAATCTAACAAGCTTTGAATTGACCTTTAAATACCCCTCTATTTTGCTAAGAAAGACATTAATTTTCAATTACTTCTAGCAGTATGCATCAAACTCAAATAGTGTCGAGTCTAACATGAAAGAATAAAAGGGGTATCCATTCTTGGAAAAAGCACAAAATGAGTCTTGAATGTCATGTTCACTAGTTGCTGGGCCTAGTCATTCGTCAAAGATGCAGTATCTAACAAGCTTTGAATTGACCTTTAAAGAACTCTCTATTTTTCTATGTTAGGTATTAATTTTCAGCTAATTCCAGTAATTTCCAGTAAAAGGAATAACTATTCTTGGAAAAAGCACAAAATGAAATATTGCCCATTAAAAATCATTAAGACTTCATTGCTTCATGGCTCTTTCATAAAAATCAAAACTTGTCTTTACCTAGATCTGTTTGGAAACCCACTGGCACAAGAGTATGGTTATAGGACCTACACTATTTTCAGCATACCATCACTTCAATTACTTGACAGAAAAGGTATGGCAAATATTTGCTTCTTGTATAATTTTCCGCGTTGATACCAATTCAAGAATTCGTTCGTTACATATTAAAATTTTTACTTTAATTCGTGTTAAGACGTCAACTACAATATACTTGAAAAGGATAGGGAAACATTTTGTGTGGAACACATGAAATCATTTAAAGGACTACCTAGTGATTAAAAACACATAATGTCCTCATCCTATACGCCTCGGATATATCTTGAGTTTTATAGAATTAAAGAGCTTGACGAACAGTTCTTTACTGGTCTAGCAAACGCTGCTGCTAACATAAACCATAATTGTGTTTTCCGTAGATCAAGATTACCTAAGGTGGATTGGTTTTATCTTGCAGTAGGAATTTGATCTTAAACTATTCACAGCTCTGTGCTTTTCTCATTCAGGAAAATCATTTATGTAAGTTGAAGCTTGAAATTCTTGTTCGCAGCTATTTCTGGGGAGGAAAGGCAAAATTCTTCGAAGAAATATGATGCAGAGAGACAGCGAATGAAAGATTCTGTTGCATTTTGGAGACGAGCTGATGACGAAAGCACAGCAAACCAAGCACGATATTCTACCTCAACTTCTTGCTTGCGGACAAATATGACCCAAATATGTAAGAAATCAATTGGTCGAGTTTGTTCTGTCTCGTTATCAACATCATTCTGGTGCCCTCTCTAGTATAAAGCGTTTCAGAGCCTAAGTCTACCTACAACTTGTGGGAAATCAAATTGTGTTGAAGATTGTTGGTATTGTGAAGGTGCTATTGGCGATACATAAACCCTACAAAGCCAGCCCTCCTTCTATGTCAATTTTACTTTTCTGATTCTTATCTAAGCTAGCTTGAATTCATACTTTGATTTCTCTAAATAATCTGTCAAGGAACCCTAATATGCCACTGTGTATAAACTTATTTCCATTTCTGCTCATCAGACATTCCAAAACACGTGAAGTATGAGGAGGAGCTCGCAACAGATACTTCAAGGTAAATAACGCTATTCCTTACCTGTAGAAATGCAGCGAATTAAAGCCTTGTTAAATCGTCGAGCCATTACCCATTCATTAGCCTGCAAAATGCTGTAACACATCAATTGATCAGGTTTTGTTTCATATCTATATTTTTCTTATTCTGTACAACTTATTTGTTAATCCAATACTTTACATTATAATGTTGAGTCCATTATAAAGGAGAATGAATTATCGTCTTCTTTATAAACTAAAAATCACAACTATCTTATGCCGTCCACCGGTTTAATTCATCTGCCAAGAAATGTTTGGGGAGTTCTGGGTTAGAATATGGTCCTTTCATTACGGCTTAAGCATATTTTTCCATAGCAAAGCTCTCCTTATAATTTTTTTCTAAATAACGGAAGGCAATTTTGTCCGAAAATTTAATTTATCGCTAAAAGTTTCAAAATTTCTCCCCAAAATTTCTTTTGTACAGTTGAGACATCAAATGTATCTGATATCCAATTCCATTAATTTTTACATTAACGTCTCATTTGTATCATAGCAACGAGCAAAAGCAAAATGGTGACAGCACTGCAAATACAAATGATCAAAAAAGTAAAAGAGCAATAATGCAGCTGAACAGGTTTGGGTGGATAGACATTCTAGAGGCGAGAACTAAGTCGAAAGATGCCACTCCAGAACCTTGCATATACACAACAAAGTTTAGATGACGTCATAGTGGAAATTAGTCGATATATATATCAGTTGCTTATTTGTATGTTGTTACTCACACCCTTTGAAAGAAAACCCACATATTCTGGTATTTTCTATCAATTGTTAGCGAAAACTCCTTTGTGAGACGTGTTACAGCAGCAAAATCATTTCTCTTAGATGATTTTAGCTCCTGCTAAGTATCATTGGGAATTTTTGCTTGCTTGTCAACACGTTATTTATTTTTTCTAATTTTTGTAAATAGTAGATCTTATTTGATTATCTATACTCACTTGTATTATCTGTCTTCTCTCTAAAAATACCTCTGTGTTCTAATTCAATAGATTCTTTAATGTTCAAAACCTTGCGCAAGTACCATCTCGACACGAAGGTTACAATAGCTTGTATAAAGTTTTTTATCTCATATGTATGACAATAAATAGAATAAGCATCAATGTTGACAATCGATCACTGGCAATGTCTCTCGTACTCTTCAAATCTCTCCTTCTCTCATTCCCAGGTACACACATTCATTTAGGCTACAGTGTATACAACAGGACGGCTCTTAGTTGCAACTTCGAGTTTCATGCTTAATGCAATCATAATGCGACTGCTTATAGTTGCATACCTATTTATCTACATAGGTCCTGACACAAGCCTAAGTTACGTGCTCACTGCATGACAGGCCCTACAAATTAATGCGTAGAAAGGAAAAAAGGAGAAGATATTTTTAGAAATAAAACCTTTAGTATCCAAGCATCATCATCATGTTGATCAGCTATACGTTAGAAATTGTTAATATGATTAGAATCAATTTCATTATATACATAACAGACTTATATCTTTATCTATAGCCATAAAGGAAATCTACAATACGTTAAACCTACCAAGTGATTTCTAATCTACCAAGGATGTTTTCTAACGCCTTTTGTATAATGGACAGAGGGCCAGTAGTAGGTACCTTACTAGGAAAACTTCTAAGGCGTCTTGTACAATAGACAGAGGGCCAACAGTAGGTACCTTTCACGGACGATTTCCAATGTCTTCTGTTTAATCGACAGAGAGAAAACAGTAAAGCAATGGTAAATTGAGCAAGCAAGCTAGCAGTTAGTGGTTCCTTCATGTATTAAGCATTTAGTAGCGTGTAACCTTGTAAAAATTGTCAAGGGGACACATCTTGAAACATAGAAAAATTGTATGAAGTTTCCTTGCCATACAAGGTGGTAATGAACGACAAAGACATTGCTCCCTGTACAACTGTAGTTGAGTGGATTATCATGGATAAAGAAGCTTAAATAAAATGGAAATTCAGGGAACACAACGGGCTAAAAGATTGGGGAGGAGAAAATATGTGGAACTTATATCATTAAGATGTCATTTCCTCACTGTAACACATCTTAGCCCTTTCCAGAAAAATGCTGTTTCAATTTGCACTATTCAGAACAACCTAGGCACTACGGCATCGACGTTTAACTTTGTCTCCATTTCCCAGACACAGCTCGTTGCCATAACAACTAAAACTTAGGAAATCTAATTACTGTGCATGTATCATGAAAAAGTCACGGTGTAAATAAAATTTAAACTCTTTTATTTCCTTGTTGTTGCTATTAACAACCGCCACCATCACCTCCGCCGCCACCATCACCTCCGCCGCCACCATCACCCCCGCCGCCACCATCACCACCGCCGCCGCCACTAGAATGACCACCTCCACCACTATCTCCAGCACCATGACCGCCACCGGCACCATGGCCACCATCGCCAGCATCTCCACCGCTATGCCCGCCAACAGCATTACCACCTGAATCTCCACCACCAACCCCAACTGCATTACCTCCACTCTGTCCGCCATCGCTGTTTCGAACTCCAGATGCCGCACTTCCAACTCTACTGTTGCGACCAGATGTTGCACTTCTAACTCTACTATTGCGACCAGATGCCGCACTTCCAACTCTACTGTTGCGACCTGCTGACTCCAATGAGGGCTCATCGGCCTTGGCCACCGACACGGGTTGACCTTCAGTCTCTGGTGGTCTACCTGCGGCTTCCAGCTCCTGCTTCACTTTAGCAAATTTTTCACTGGCCAGAAGCTCACTAAGCTGTTCAGTTTTTGGATGATCATCGCCAAGAAGCTACAAATTATTAGCAAGCAAATATTTAGAAAAGGATTTCAAAAAATAAATTAAAAAAGGCCTGGCCTAAAATTACCAGAAAATATTTCAAAAGTTAATGGTCGTGGTGAAAAATATGCTCAAAACTGATGAGAAATGTTTCAAGGTGACGTTTCAAGGTGACGAAAACGACGATTATGATGATTATTATTAAGCTAAAGATGAAATTATAAGTCAAATTTGCACTCACCATGTCATATACCTTTAAGCTTCTTTGATAATAAATACAGGCACTTTTCAAATCCTTGTCATTCTCCTCGTACATAATTGCAACCTTTTTGCAAAGTTCACCAGACAAAATATGATCTTCACCGTAGACTTGAAGACACATGTCACAAGCCGCAAGGGTGTACTGCGAAAAATAAGTCAATTCAATTCATTTCATTTTCATACGTACAGCACCCCAGTTAGCGATAACGCTATCCAAATAAAAGCTGGAAATTAAGTTGTGGGTTTATCTGAAAAAACCTGTTCATAAAAGGATAGTATAAAGTAGATCATCACTACAATTTGTAGTTTTTCTAAAGAAGTTAAGAATATAGCATAGGAGCAAAAACTCCGAAGAACATTAAGAGCTGGGGGGGAGGGGGGCTAAAAAGGTTTGGGGCTCAACATGCTAAAGCAAAGTGTGAGATGATTTATTTTTGGTTTTTAGAGCATTATTGAGGGCCAGCTAATTGCTACATACTGTTGGGGTGACAGTCGGGGTGAAATTGGAAAGTGTCAGAGATGGGTTGGTTCCGTTATTGGGAAACTTCCTTAACTAAGGAGATCCGTCTTTGGCAGGTGTCCACTATTGGAAGATGTCCGTTATTGGGGGTGTCCGCTATTGGAAGATGTCCGTTACTCGGATGTGTCCGTAATTGAAGGTGTGCGTTATTCAGAGGTCTTTGTTATGAGAGGTGTCCGCTAAGGAAGTTTTAGAAAATTCAGTGCATCAAATATACCTTCTCCTCTGCCTCGTTGTCACAGTTTCGATAAATTCCTCCTTTAGCCATGAGAGCCTCTGCCTTATGTCCTCGGTCACCCATCTATAAACAGAAAGGCAAGTTTAAATGTCTTTTCGAATTGACCGTGTCAGGTAAGTCGTGCCATGAGGGCAGCAAAGTGAACGCACCCAGCCAAGCTACAAAAACTTTTTCCTTTTTTCAATTAAAGGAAACATTTCTATCGCCAGTTTGCAATTCTCACTTTAAGGCTATAGATTTGTAGAAAAATATGCACCCTTTACTTGTTTGTCCCCTTCCCTGTTTCTTATTGTTCCACAGGCCTCCATGCTAGCATGTCTAGTACAGTGCAAGCGATCAAACAAAGAAAAAATTCAAAGTAAAATCGAAGCAAACACGCAACCTGTTCAAAAATTGATATAGCTTCGTCTATAGCTTTGTCAGCTTCCTTGCGGATTGTATCTTTTCCAACAAACTCAAGATCAGCAACTCTTGCTAAGTGGTTTGTCTTCATAATATGCGTTTCGCCAAGCTTTATCTAAAAGATTCAAGTGTAACGGTATTAAACCATAAATATTGAGCCATATAACAGGAATAGTAGAATAATTTCTTAAGTTATATATAAGAAGAGAATTCATCACCACGTAATTGGCTGATATATAGTGAGATTTTGTTAAAATAATATTGTCCTTTATCTGAGTACACACCTTGTTCTCATCTCCTGAGCAATTCTTTCGCAATTCAATTGATCTTTCGCAGTAGTCAACTACTTCTTTTTCCATCGGTAGAAGGCTTGCATTTTCCCCCTCTGAGCTTCTAATTATCTAAAGAAACGAAAGTATTATCATGATTAGAAAAGACATGATGAGAAACAAAGTTGTCCATCGAAAAGTTGATACAAAGAGTGTTTTAAGAGAAAATTTTAACAGTGGCAAGGGGATGCAGGAAATTTCCCCTGGCGATGGAGAAAAACATTTGACGGAAAAGTCTTAAGAAAGAATCATTCTCCCCTTCTTGTGATCAAAGAGTAAGCGCATTTGACTAAATCTTTATTACGCATGCTCCCTGGCCCAAAAACAGTGGGATCTTTTATTCATTAGAAGCTGGTTTCCGAAACAAACCACTGTAAAAGTCTTGAAAGGCTCGTGGTAATATCTTATTTCTATGTTAAAACGAACCCACTCTCCCTTTAAAAAAATTGGGGGGGGGGTTCATATTTAACAGCCGAAAACACATTATTTTCCAAAAAAATTATGCCATGAGTGAGGTTCCATTGATTACAGGAAGTTCCAGGAACTTTTGTAGTGCATATTAATCGCTTTGAAAAAGCAATCATTGTGAAACATACTTAGGAATTTCGTCTGACACTCTTCAGAGTAATTAAACGTCAAAATTTTGATAAAAAAATTATTAGCCAGGAACATCATACCTCGCCCTTACAAGACGCAAGCAGCTGGTAAATATCTGCCATTTGGTCTGGTCGGCTTCCAAGTTTGCTCTCTTCCAATTCCGCTAGCTTACGCAGCAAATCAAGCCCAATATTATACTGGCCGACTTGAATACTAGAGCATAAGATAAATAAAGCTGTAGATGAATGGCTGCAAAAAACCTCTCGGATTTAAACATTTCATGAAAGTTTGAGAAAGTATTATAAAAGTCGAGTGACAAAAGTCTAGGAAAGTTTCTCAAATCATAACGATAATCGTTAAAAAGAAAGTAGTTTACAATTCTAAAATACGAGGGGAGAGACACAAATGACGAATATTTATCTGAAGTGAATTCTCATCCTTTTGTCGTACGATCTGTGTTTAGGGAGTGCATGGCGAATACGTGAACCGTTGCGGGAAAAAATAAGTGAGCTAAGAAAAATTTCAGTTCATAAAACGTACTCGAAGTTAACGACTTTTTCGATCAAATTGGAGTATTCAACATCAGAGATTTTTCCTTCCTGACTCTGCAATTCTTTCTTGTATCGTTCGCCAGCCACATCATAACCACCGGCCTATGTAGAAAGAGCAATTCTATGGTCATGAGAAGAAGGCAATAAAACCACAGAATCAAAGGTAAGTGTGGATACAGAAGCAGTACACGTGTGAAAACACGGGTTTTTCTTTTTGTTGATATACTTCGACTCTCAAGTGTTAAGAGAGAAAACAAGAGGCAAGTTACTTTTACTTATTACTAGGAAAACTCAACTTGTGTTTCACGGTTCCAGCAGGTTTCTCTTGAAAAAAATCAAGAAAGTAAGAAGAATGCTATGAACTTTAAACAATGGCCTTTCTTGAAAGGAATCTGCAAATAATCATTTTTTGTCCCTGTTTTTTATTTCTAGTCATTCTCTTTCAATTAAAATGAATGCACTCATTTTAAGCATCGATTTCCAACAAATTACTGCAAGCTCTCATATCTCAGGGCATGAACCTAAAATTCCATAGATGGTGCAATTTCATCGAAATATTATGTAACGGTAATAATGGCACACACAAATTCGACAGTCCAAGTATAATTTTTGCTGAAAAATGACAAATTTGCAATGGCTTTGCTCTTTGGGGCTAAAATTCACATTATACGTATTTGCAATCTGCTAATTAAAACAGACAAATAACTTGCCCTCTGCTGATAAAATATTTGAAAAAATTTACCTTTTGCCAGTAATGTATCAAGTCACTGCTGACGTCAAAGGAGAACAGTCGATCGAATATTTCCCAGTCTGCTAAGCAATCAGCCAAACCTTCAACATCGTCAAGTTGCTCCAAATGATACGGAAGTTCCTGGAATGAAATGGAAATTCCTAGAAATTATATGCAAGCTTCTAATCAGGGTGCACTGATCATCATCAACAAAGGAATTGTAAAGCGATCAATAACCAAGCTGAACAAAATATTATCTGTATATCTCTATAAAAACTATTTATGTTTGAAACCAAAGAAGGCCTTCTGATTAGAAAAAGTCAACACATTTTGACGTTTACCAGCGTTGAGACTTGCTGGGTTTTGAAAATTTGGCTTCCATATCCATGGTATGGGCTCTAATTTTTTTCACACAGCTCTTTCCGTATTTTGCACAATCAGTGTGAATCTCTCAAACCATTTTCATTTTACATGCATATTTAATCCAAGGGATTAAATTTGAATTAGAGGAGGAAAAAGTTGGTACAACCACTGGTTGAAATCCCCCCTTTAGCAAAATCTCCAACTTTATAAAAAAGGATTTTCTGGCCTTGGTTTCAGGGTAAAAACTTAACCAAGGCTGAGTTTTCCAACTAAAAGGTCTCTCGATGACAATTCGATCCAAAAATGCAAACAACATTTGTGTTAAGTTTACCTCAGCTTTGCGATCCAGATCATCTTCATTCTTAAAATGAACTGCAAGAATTGTGTGCCAGGATTTCTTCCTGCTTTTAATGTCATCTTCACTTCCAGCAAGGAACCTAAAATAATGGCTATATTTAAATTTGGTGCTGGAAAATCATCATTTTTCGAAACCTACTTACAAGTTATCTTTAGCAAAACTATCTTCTAATGGAAACTTTTCATTTTGAATTCCAGTTAAAACTACAATTACAAATCTCACTATAACAAGGTAATTTGTAACTGGCTAGCCTGTTTTTACAAAATAAAACTATTACAATCGAAGTAATGAGAAAAGAAAAAAAATGGTAGTAACGAGAAAAAATAATAATAATAATAATAATAACTAACATTCTGACAGGTTGCCTTGGTCAGATGTAATATCATCTATTATTATTCAAGGACCTGTATCCCTATCTAATTGCAACTGTTAAATTAAAATGGTAAAAATCAAATAAGAGTTAAAGTTTTATTCACAACAACAAAATTAGAATTTATTTACAGTAAGCAAAATCAGAATTCAAATGGAAAGAAAAGTATTTCAATGCAAACAGCGATTGCTACAGCAGTTGGATAACTTATGTACACCAGATTGACTGCTTGTGCAAGAATCTTCTCAAAACAAATTGTGCTTTTCGGCTTTAGAGCTCCTTCGTAGCTATGCAATGCCAATAAACAACATTACAAAACCATGTCCCTGATTGGTTAGACAAAAACACAAGCACATGACCGGTTTAGTTGTCGAATCAGTACCGCGTGCATATAGAGAAATCACTACTGCAGTCGAAGAGAGAAAACGAACACAACTAGGCATATGTTTGTGTAGACAGAAGGAGTTCGTTTTCTCACTTGGACTCCAGTGGTGATTTCTGTATAGGCACGCGGTACTGATTAGACAATTATACCGGTCCAGTGCTTGCATTTTTCTGATTGGCCTATTTCGATCCACAATTAGGTATATACTTGCCAATTTGTTTAACAGAAAGCACAAAATAGTAGTGATTTCTTTCGCTCTCAAAACAGATCTTCAGACGACTTAATTTAATTCATGTTAAAATCCAACAGCAAACTGCAAAAGGTTCACGATTTGATTGCAATGTTTACATACTTTTTCTCAAAAGCATCAGAGTAGGATTGATGAGCAAAATCTAGCCTTCCATCTCCAAAAGCTGCATTGGTCTTCAGATAAGGCTGCACTCGATCGTAAACAACTGCCCAGCGTCGATAAGGCAAGACATCGTACTCAAACGTGGTGTCTGTGTAGAAGCAAGCACATCAAACCTTGTCAAAATTGTTGGACACACAGACACAAAATCTTAACAGTTGTTTAACGTTGATTGTCAGTAACAATCTGACTAGGATTTGACACATGAACACTTCTAATAATGGAATCAATATTATACAGGGGGAGGGGGGAAGAATATAGCAACAGCGTTGACGACTTGGAGAGGTAGTTGAATATTGGGTTATCAATTTCAGGGACAAAGGCCACTGTCTTTTTTAGGAAATTGTTAGTTTCCTGGATACTTTGGGGTAAATCATTTATACATTTTTTTAAAGATGCTACATCCATCTATTGAGGTACTCCTGAAATTCTAAATTACGAAAAAACCCTCAAAGCGGTGCTATCTTATGATAAAATAAAAAGGAGCAACCCATAGCAAATATAATATATTTTTAAAAATCAGACACTAAAGAGTGCAGAACAATACATTAGGTATTACCAAATGCATATCCTTTATAAATGCAGTGTGCACCCTACCTTGACTTTTTTCGTACGTGCAAAGCAACGATCTGAGCTCTCTTTCAAGAAGGCCTCGTCTTGATGTGTATATAAGGAATAGTGTAGCCATGACAAGCCTGTGTTCTGAGCCCGAATCGAGGCCACCAATCAACAGTTCTTGCAGCCTATTAATATAGAATTGGGAGTTGAAAATATGATGTTATTTGAAGAAGTAAAATCTAGGTTCACTGTTTTTTTTAGGATCTCTATTCAAATTGAAGATTATTGCTCTAAAAACAGTTACCGTTGACTTTCCTCTCAGGACGAAACATTTATTCAGTATTTTAGCAACTTATTTAGGGGGGGGGGGGGGTTGGTTACAGTTCATGTTGAAAAATCAGTTTAAACCAGCGACAAATCCAAGATGGCGAATTCACTAACGGCTGGCATCGTATGAATTCTCTCCTATACTAAATAAAAATATCAACGCTCATTTCATGTTTAGGCTTGATGCATGTATCTTTTAACTCAAATTATCATCGAAGATTCTACTCTGAGATTCTGTAACATAGAATTAAGAGAATGCTCACCCATTTAAATCTGTTGGCAATGCTTTCAAATCCTCCATCGATTTGGCACTGTAATTCGTGATGATATACTGACAAGCCAGGCATATCCACAATAAATTGTTCGCACCGGGCAAATTCAAAAAGTATCCGTATTCCTCATCCGTTAATACAATACTGTACTTTAACAGTTGTGATTTGAAAATCTCCTATTAAGCAAATAAAGCGTATAAAAATTAAACAGTCTTGTCGTGACTGTAATTGTAATCGCAACATTACATTACATAAGGTAGGCAATATATAAAAATCTATTCATTTCGAGCAGGGAAGTATTGCTAATAAATTAGGTAATTAAGACTTAGATATATTTTATAACAGTTTTCAGTTATGAATCCAATATGTTTCATGTTTATTGCAATGTATGAATTTTAGCGTGTAAAGCACGACTAACTTCATGGGGCTTTCTTCTTTGAAACGCAGCCATACAGTATGTTTAATCAAGATCGTTAAACCATTGGTAGTGAATTTTAAGCCTAGAGACGATCTTAATCTAGAGGATAATTAATATTCATTTGTTACAGTAACAGTGATTTCTTTATCATTATCCTTCTATAAATAAGTACAATATGGTTTAAGAAAAATATCTCACACATCTATTAAACACAGGAGAAACTGACTTTTTAGGACTTTAAAAATATCAAAGTCTCCTTACAATACTAGTTGTACTGTATATCGTTAAAGTGGCGTGAAAACAGCTTATTCAAAATAAAGAAAAATTAGTTGGTCTTTTCAGTTTCTCATTATTACACTCACTTATATAAAAAACTTTCTATAAGAAACTATGCCCTAAGATGAGCAAAAAACTAAGAAAAGATAGCACTGATCATACTGAACTTTTAAAACTGCTCGAAATTCCTTCTTTTAAAGGAATTTCAAAGATCAGGCGCCTCTAAAAAATGAGTAAATCTAAATAACAGAAGGTTGGAATTTCTTACCTGTCGTCACATTTCCTACAAAATATATATTCACATATTTCAAACATAGCAAAATTTGCACACTGTAAGTATTAAATGTTGCCAGAACGAACTCACCATTCTCAAGCCAAACTCCATCGTGCTCACTTCGACTGTAGAACTTTCATGTGAATATTTGTGGACGATTTTATGGCTGACGGTTCCAGTTGTAGTGGAGAGTATCACACGGACATTGTTAGAAAGAACAGGGGGAAGCCATCGACGGACAAGTTTCTGTTGGTCAGCATCGATCTAGTTCCAAAAAAGCGTTCATCGTATAAATTTTATGGACTTTTATAGTTCATTTCTGGCTGAAACTATTAATAAATTTCAAGGACATCATATAACAGACGAATTCCGATTGCTAAGAATCTTTCGCTACTTTGAACCGAAAGTCTGGTTGACACCTTAGAATTCTCCAAGTACAACGTACTTCCATTTTTACGAACTTTTTCTTGATCCGGTTGGTAGCACCGAGAATTGCTATACAATCGCGTATTTTGTAGATTTTCCAATAGCAGCCTGAATAGGTTCTTAATTAACAGGCTGCTATTCTAAATTCCAGTCTAAAAGGTTCTTAACAAGGTTCTTGTATACGTACAGGCCTTGGACACATAAACAATGTTTTCCACCGCAAGAATTCTAACAGACACACCTAAACCAGCTTTGTTTTTCATGTTAAATTTCAAGCAGTCAAACGAATCTGTGTTGTTAGATTGTCCAAATAGAGTGCAACCTACCAAAATCTGATTTAACTCTAAGCTGGTTTAATTTGCCAGTGTGAATAGGGTGTAAAAATACCCCTCTAAAAACCCTTTTTTCTTATATATATATATACAAGAACCTTTCCAAATTTCAGCCTCTTGGGGTTCTTAATTATGGGGTTTAAAAGATTAAATTTTAGCCTCAAGGTTCTTATAAAAACAGATTCTTTTATGCGTGCCCAGCTCTGCCTGTACAGTATCAAGTACTATATGACAGACGGTTAAAAAATTAAGTTCCATAAACTTATATTTATAAACTTGTCTTTTATTGAGAACAGCTAAGGGCTCAATCGCAAGAGAAGCTCTTTCTTGAAATATTTGTGCGTTATGTTCAAGATTCTTACCAGATCAATTGCATCAATGTAGATAATTATGGGCGTTGTGCCATAGGCAAGGACATTTCTCACTCTCTGCGTCATCATATCCAGATCATCAAAAACTTCAGGCTGAAATGAAAGAAAAGGAATTAATGGCTGCATCAATGTCATTATTGCCACGCTTGGGAAACAGTTCATATTCACTTGAAGAGCTATTTTTTTCCATTCCTGTAAAAAGCAGCAAGGATATTAAACAGAGTTAATTTTAAGGAATTTTTATCACTGCACATACTCAAAACTTTTGGAATTTTGGGTGTCAACTTTTGAAAATTTTCATGATCACACCCTTCAATCTAACTGAATTATGATCACTGTTACTGTTATGTTTTCGTTTTTAATATTGCAATGCTCTTTTGTAAGCTTTATGTGTCTACTGGCAGATGCTTCAATTTTCCTTTTTCAATGGTAAATCTCTTTATTGTAGCTTTATCATTGCACAAAATTTGAGTTTATCACTGTACAATAACGATTTACCACTGCACAAATTGGTTATCACTGCACATTAAAATAAACCCTGATATTCAACTATCTCAGCTTTTTCAAACTCGCTGAAAAAGGGACCTTAAACGCCAGCTCGACGAAGATCCGTAAATACTCAAACAGACTTCAAATTCGAGCTGCTTTTCTCCTCGGACAACTGCCACAAACCCCATCTTGAAAACATCCTCATGTTGCAACATCTCGAAAAGTTACCATTTCAAAATAAGCCCCAAGAAATAAAATGTTAAGACAAAGCTAAAAATTGCATTGGATGCGGTGTTTCAAACGAGTGATTAATTTCTAACTTAAAAGATAAAACAAAAAATGGTAAAAGTTCATGAAAATTGATGAGAATTTCATATAATTGATATTAATAGCTAACCTTGAGTTGACCTGTCTCTTTCAGGAGTCTCTCTAGAAATGAAACCAAGTCTGTTGACCCTGGAGCTGACCCGACAAAATGCAGGAGTATCTTCCACCGCAATGCACCCCTAAATACAGCATAAATTCAGATTCATACAAGCATTTAAGGCTTTTATAAAGGCTAAAGAATGTCTTAGGTACAGAGTAAGAAACACTGCCATCTTTGGCAGAAATATGAACTCTAAACAATTTTTCCTTCAAACTCTTCTTTCACTTAGACCTTAATAGAGATGAATTATATGAATTGCGAGACTCAGATCGCAAAAGGAGAAAGAACAAAATATATACATTTCATTTCTAAGCTCTGAAAAATATCAGTCAACATATGACTTCATCTCATCACTACGATGCTACAGCAGCAATTTCATCCTTGAGGCGATATTTTGCAAGCAGCCCCAACTTTGCCAGAAGCCTTTCACTGATAAAATAATCTTCTCCTAGGTTAGAGTGGCTGCTTAAGTGCTCCCAGAATTATGTGCCCCCTTTCTACCCCTATGACTGCTGAATGGTACATACGAAGGCACGGGGATGCCTCCATTTTCACAAAGATCCATGGTTCTCCTTGCACTTTGAGCAAGGATCGTTGTTTTCCCTGTTCCATGGCTGCCGTGGACGATGATTGGTGATGGTTCTGTTGGTTCTTTTATCTCCTTCTCGATCTGAAAAATAATATAGTTAAATATAAAAGCTGTAGAAAATGGTTCCCATTCATCATAATGTAAGCACTGCAGAATATCTGTAAAAGCCTCTAGATACACGATGAAATCTGTCACAATGACAATTATAAATTCTTACAACTGAATGCTCTACTGAAGGGCTTGTACTTGAAGAAATATTTCATGATGCTTTACGAACAAGAAATGTTAATGGATCGTTCCGTAAAAGATACCAAAAAAACTACTTGAATAGACTTTAAGTAAAAATGGAAGATAGACATTTGTACGTGTTTTCAAACAAAAACCTTAGCTATTTGTACGTCGCAACATATAAATGATAAAGTTTTAGGATGGCAAGTTATTTCTGTGGAAGAATGCTATACCCACCTTTGCAATGATTTCCTCTCTGAGAGATGAGTTATCTGCATAATATGCTACGTAATTCTAGAAAAACAATAAACAAACAAAATGCTAGTCATTGGGCAGTTTTTAGACTCAAGGATGCATTAAGTTGAGATTCGAAAAAATCAGAAAAAATTGACTGTAACTTGAAGAAAAAATTGAAAAAAACTTTTTCGGGTTAAAAAACCATGAACATTTCAAAAATAACGGTAGTGTTTGAATACCAGTACAGTATGAGATATCCAGTACAGTACAAATACAGTATAGTACAGTATAGTACAGTATAGTACAGTATAGTACAGTATAGTACAGTATAGTACAGTATAGTACAGTATAGTACAGTATAGTACAGTATAGTACAGTATAGTACAGTATAGTACAGTATAGTACAGTACAAATCCGGAATTGAGATATCGTTGTCACTTGTATTTCAGTTTCAGCTTTTTTGAAGCATTGACTATAATCATAAATATGTTATCATACTCGATGTGCTTGGCGTCTCTCTTCAACTGGGTCGAGATCCGTTGGATCTAATGGGTAGAGTTCGTCTATTCTCTTCTTGAAAAACTCCAAAACCTGTAAAAGGACCAACAGCATTTTAGCTACAAATAAAAAGGAATGGAGACAGCATAGAGCCTTGAGCAACTCTAAGCATTACTTAAACAAATATCAGAGGTCAATTCAATTTTCTGTCAAATGCAATCTATTTTGGTTATAGACTAAAACTCTTTTTACTGCATTCTAATAATGATATAAAAAGGCGTCATTGTCTCAAAATTTACTGAAGAAATTCTAATGTTGAAGACTTAACTTACCACAGTGCCAAAAGATGTGACTTCACCAGTTAGTCCTGTTACTTTCAAAGGAGCTCCCTCTTCTACCTGGGCACTTGCTTGATATGTGTGGACCTGTGTGTTCTGGAAAGAGCGTTATATGTTATTGCTTTTGGACAAACTGAGTAACCCATGAATATCTTTCAATATATCACACTTTAGACTTCTTAAAACTACAATGTAATAGCGTAACTATAAAAAACGTAGCACAGAACCGGACGTTCTGTTTCCCTTTTTTTCGTCAAAACCTGCCTGAGTCCGTTTTCTCCGTATGATGTGGGGGAAAATATGCAGATATAAAAAAGTGCTTGAGAAGATTAAATAAAATTAAATACGACAAAACAAGAATTATAAAATAAAAACATAGACGTGGTTTACATTGGTATTTTTGAAACTGCATGTGAAATTATGCAAGGTTCACGACAGTAAAAAGCATGACAATAATAGTTGTGCAGCAATGATATGAAATAATTTTAGACTGTGATTTTCAACATGTAAATACAATGTACACGAACTTAAAAAACACTGCATCCCATTAAACGTTGAAAATATCCTTTTGGATATTCGCCAACTGTGTTTTTTACATTTAGCCTTTAACATACTAGATTTTTACAATATCCGTGATCTCTGATGAAGTATATATATACACTAACTTCATGGCAATAAACTGTGGCCCAATATACTGAAGCTTTGCTTACCGGAAACATATTGAGCAGTTCAGTTTTTAAACGACCTGTGCGTGTTGCACTGAGCTCTGATGAGGCAACGAAATCTTTCTTGGATGCATCAGGACAATTGACCAGAAACTCGGGATCCCGAACCATGAATAATGCTGTGGGGAAAAGTCAGAAATGTTTGTTAATGATTATCCAAAACTTTGCTGATGAAATTTTGAAAACACATCTTTAAAATTTTCATTTTTGCTTAGTAGAGCTGGAATACATCGACAAGCAACATTGGAACTTTCACTAAATAAAACAACCAATAAAAGTAATCGATGCTGTCTCGCCAGCTACAATGTGACTTCTACTTAGAAAGCATCATTTATAAGCCTTCTAACAAATCAATGTTCGTTTTCAGCACAGCTTTCATTTTACCCTTTTAAAGCAAATATTGTTAAAAGTGTTGTATTAAGAATTTCCTGAGCAAAAAGATGTGGATAAAATCAGCGAAAACATAGACAAAGTACTGTCCGTATTCTAAATATATTAAGGTGAATTAGGGGATAAATGAACGATTTGGCAACTAGCTATCGAAAATTGTTGGGAGGGGGGAGGGGGAGGGTGTCCATGTCCACTCTCCTATTAGTGACGTCGTTGAATCTTAATCGTGTATCGATATCATACCATTTGGACTGCAGAAGCGATAGGCCGAGTGCAATATTTCCATTTCGTAGAGAGAAAAGCCATAGATCCATCCATAATGTGCTGCAATGTTGCTTGGAATTTCATTTTCATCTGGAATCCAGTCGAGCTTTTCCCTGGAAATAAAACAAAGTGAAATCTAAGTTCCAAGAACTGAGATGCATCGATAGATTGATATGATCCAAGAACTGAGATGCATAGATTGATTGATAGAGGTTCATGAGATTGTTGGGGTGCGGGCAATGAAGCACAAGAAGCAAGGAGAGAAAATTGATCGGGGGTCCTCACTCAAAGGAATGTTCGTTGTCATATCCTGTAGATGATTGATGCATACAATCAAAAAACGGCAGACAAGAAAATTTTACTTGGTTCTATATGTAAAAATGACAAATCTTTAACAAAGGCTAGCTCTCAATTTGGAGCAGGGAAATAGTTTAAAAATGATGGTCAATAATTATCAAAATTTACGATGCTGCAAAATTAGAGCATGGTAAGAGCTATGTGGCTCGTAAAGAAGTGAGGACTTCTAGTCTTTTGAACAAACAAACAAGATGTTTCAAAGCTGCAAAGCAAGTTTGATTTTGACAAGACAGATTTAAAACAGATATGATACAAAGGCAGGCCGGGGGCATGGCTCCCACACTTTAAGCTTTTTCCAAAATCTTTTGTTGTGGTTGCTAAATTTTTCCAAGGTCTCCCCACTTTCCAAACTGTGTCGGAGCCAATGTGATTAGAATTTCAAATGAAGGACGTTCTCCTGTAAAATTGTATACAGTTGAAGGTCAGTAGTATAACCTTAATTGTAAAACAACCCGGGCTAAATGAAATTAAGCTAAAGATTCGATTACCTTATATATTTGATTATACACACCGTAAATCTAAACAATGTGTTCAGATCGGATTAACAAGCAAATAAGATGGGATCCGTATCAAATTTCTTCAAAATTAGGATGGAAATCTCTTAAAGACAACCCTGTGTAACATACTGGGTGGGCTTTTGTCTTCACGGGGGATAACAGGTAAATATGGAGGGGCACAAAATTTATCTCGAACATAAGAGACATATCAGTGCCGTTGAAATGAAATTCATATGGGAGGCTGCCAACAGTTTGACAATATTTTTGGGGGCTCCAGCCCCCCCCCATACTTCCGACGGGTGTTCAGAGATAAATGAAACACTTTCCATCCTTTGACTCGATCTGCATAAAATTTGCAGTGAACATTGAAGCTAAACCACAGGATTAACACATTCTAGAAGCTTCGATTACACGGAGCTTCGAAAACATGTTTTCTGAATACCAGAGTAACAGCTTCGGATTGAGGATTTTTCCACACTTTGGGAATTGTTATATGACCCTACAAATTTGAATTGACAAGGAACGATTTACTTCCGCAATGATTCACTGGATGAAACGAAAGATCAAGACCTGCAAAGCCAAAGACTCAGACATGTGCTAGAGAGAGAGAGAGAGAGAGAGAGAGAGATGGGGCACTTTTGTGTTAAATAATCTAATTAAATTAGCCCAAATCTTGTTCCAAAACCTGTATATTACTTCAAATTTGTTGACTGAAAATCCACAACTAAGATGCATCAGCATAAATATTGCCATCATGGGGACTAGTAGGGGTAAGATATGTCTGTCCATTGCTAGAAGGGGTAAGGGGTATCTGTCTATTGCTCTACCCCCAGTTCAGGGTGGGCTGCATGGGTCCTTGAAATAATGAACAGAACAAAACAAAGAGATATGAAAAATCTATGAATTTCCGCAATTGAATCGCACTTACCCTACGAGTCCTAAGAAAAATGGTATTGTATTTTCTGCATAGCATCTGTTTATTTCACCCAGTGCCAAAAGAGCATGTGAAGAATTATTGAGGTCTTCTTTGGAACCCTAAAAAAGTGCAATAAAATATCAGTGAATTGAAGGCAGAATTTATCGAAAATAAAAAAGACACTTTTGAAGCATGAACAAAGCATGGAAGAAATAATTTTTTTCTAAACAACAAAACAGGAAGGTAGGCTAAGACTCAAGTATGTTTTATCTTTTTAGCTAAATGTTACTTGCAAGAATGAAACTGCCTCCATAAAATGTGTGCTTTACTCTTGTTTAATGAGGTTTCCAATGTAGTGAAAAAATACATTCAAAAGGAAACAGATCTGATAAATCTTTAGGTAGCTTTTGGAAATCCTGAATTGAGTGCATCGACTTTTATTGCAAAACATTGTGAAATGATAATTTACAAAATCAAAAATTTGCAAAAAAATATAAAATTTTAATTAGAAAATTCATTTTCATCAATAGGGTAGAATGTTTTGCAGCATCTAGATTTCCTAACACAAGTACTAAATCAACAAACTTTGATACATGTGGCAGCATTGTCAAAAAATAATTGCTCATTTAGTACAATGGAAAGTAGAGCCTCATCCCCAAAGTTGAAGAATCAAAGAAAAAAACCATAGCTTTATATAATGAGCTCATTAACAGGTATTGCAGTTTGCATGTTAAATACAATTTAGATTCATTCACAGATTATGAGCATACAGGCAATGGTAAAAATGCGAAAAATACATACAAGCTACCTTTGAATTATAAGACATGTTCCAGTGGGGGGGAGGGGTGTTGGTGGAGGGGGCAATTTAATAATTCTAAAACTTTTTCCCTACTCAGCAGAATTTTGAGAAATTAATCAAACCCTGTGTTGGAACATATGAGTCAAATATCAACTTGATGCAACATAATATCCCTAGACATAAAAAGTTTTCAGTGCCCCCCCCCCCCCTACTACAAAGAACTTTAAACCAGGGGGATCAGCACCTCTAGAAACTGGGAAAACACAATCAGCATTACAATTGTTGAGGAAAGATTAATAGCCCTAGTTTAATATTCCTCAGACATGTAAGATACTAAGTAACAGGGTAGGGATACACCAACGTATCAATGTATTTCTGCATCAAAACAAATATCAGGCTACAAAACTTCAATTTAAAACTGCTTTCGAATTAGCTGTCAATTTTGGGGTACTTTTCAGGTTTGTGGGTTATTAGCCCAACCATTTTTCTATGTGCAGCTGATGAACTTGGCAATGGTTTACCTGCAAATTGTGGCTTCAAATAAGATGCATCTTGCAGGAACCGCACAGCCATTGGGCTAGCAGGGGCTAACAATTTTGTTGTTTTTTGAGCCCCTATGAGAAGACCCCAACATTCTACAAATCACTGTTTGAATCTTTTTCATATGTATTGTTAAATTTCTTAGAAAATTGAATGAAATAAAATCATCCACTTACCCATCTCAAGTCAACATCAACAAGTCTCAGCTTTTTTTCTTCACACCATTCTCTCAGCTTAGTGAAAACCTTAAAAGTATTGGAGCAACGTTATCATAGAGCCACAGCATAACCTCTATGTATCAATAGTCAATCAGATTTGTTTTAGAATTAAGCAAATGTATGTAATGACCCCCTGTGAATAGACCATGGCAGAACCATGTTTAACAATAAAGTCATGACATAAAAGTTTTCCCACCATTTAGGGGTAAAAAATGGATTTAGGAATATTTTAAGTGGAAAACCCAAACTTTAAGCTGGTATGTATATATTGATTTCATCCTAACACATGGGCAAGGTAGTTGCATTTTGGCATTGGAGGTGTTAGCAGTCAGCATAAGGTAACTCTTGGTAGAAAATTTAAATGAAAGTTGTATTGCTTCAAGGCCACTATTCATTCATGCGATTTTTCTACACATAAATTTACTACAGCTCCACTTTATAAAAGAACTAGTGAGGGAGGGCTCTTGACTTAAGTTGGTATAATACACTCTTTTTTATAAGAATCAGTAAATTAAAGTTCAGGCTGACTGTTCCAAATTCTTTTGGAAAATCTGAGGCTGCATTGTTCTTAATTTGTTCTTAAATTAACAGGGTGTAAGCAGTGCGATTGCTAGCTTTTTGCTCTAGGGAGGTGTTCAGGCCTCATTTGCCAACAAAGTGAGCGAGACAAATTTAATTTGCCGAGAAGTTTGAATATTCACTGAAAAAACACCCACACATGGCTAAAAACCCTCGTTTTTGAGATAAAACGTTGTTCATCGTTGCAATTTACAGTAGGTCAGCCCTAGTTTGTTCTTCACTTGTTCTAACTGTTGACCATTTTTGAGGCTCGTGTTCTTACTAAATGATGCTCACAAAGAGTGCATGTTAATTAGCGTCAACGGCTTCTTTCAATTATTTGTTAAAAGTTAGTAGCCCATAAGAGCACGAAAGTAGGGATTTTGGTTTTAAAGTAACGCTTTGACGTTCATTTGTTGATAGCAACGAAGAGAATGAAAATAATTCGCACAGGACACCGTGGATCAATAATTACTTTAAAGCGAGTTCTACATCCAGGGCAGGTGGTGATTGGCAAATGAGCATCTGCGAAATCTCAACGTACAAACCTCTTTTGAAAGTACATCCCGCTCATCTTTGAAATCCTCAAAAGTTGATGACACATAAATTCTGATGTTCCTCCAACCTCTACGGCCTTTTGTCGGCTGTAAAAATGGCTTCAACGTGTTTGCTGCGTATGTACTTGTTCCATTTACGATTGCCCATTGTCAATTAATTTCTGTGGCTTTTAACCTCGCTGCTCGTTCAAAACTAACTGACTTTATTCTATTTGTATTCACGTACTCTAAAACGACATCAACCAGTTCGTTTCGATTGTTGTTCCCATCAATACTCAATTTCTTTGCACGCTTTTTCCCGGATGATGACGAACTGCTTGAAGACGAACCAACAGATTTTTTCTTGGAATTTTTCGCAACCTTTTTTCCCTTTGAGCCTCCTGTACCCATGGCTAACTTGCAAACTTTCAACAACAACTATTCAATTGTACAAATATTTCATTTCGTTCTTCTTTAAATCGTAGACGAAGTTCCAGACTGGACAGGAAGAGAATATGATCAAGCATTATTTACAAATTAATGTTTCCCTGTGATGCGTCACCAAGACGACCGCCCGAACACCTTAGCGACGCAATGTTGAAAGTACCACCGTTTCCAAAACATGAACACGCACAAGGACCGTCAACTTTACAAATCTATACATGCCTATTGTTAAACCTCAAGACAAATCAAAGCACTTTTTCTTGCGTGTTTATGCGGTCATGGACGATAAAAAGCTGTGTTAGTGTCACATTGACAATAGCATAAAACAACTCAGAAATTTATCTGACCTATTGATAAGATGACATTGAAGCAAGATAAAACAATTTTGATTCAAGGAAACCCCCATAATATTGCATTTTTTCTAAATTTTTTTAACTTTATTTAAATTTGAAGCAGCAATGAATTGTGAGTGTGATTTAATTTATCTGATTCTAAAATCTATAATGTTTCTGATTTAAACTCCTTTAAACAAGAAACAGATAATTTTTTGCTGAAGTTCGGTGTTCCAATTTTTTGGATAATTCGAAGCTCAGGCTTTCTTAATGTAGTTTCTATCTCAGCTTTAATAATTCCAAAATCACAAACTATAAATTATTTCTTAGAACATTAAATGGCAGTTTTGCACGACAATTTTGGTGGCACGGATTATTAGCTGATAAAATCTGCTCCGTTTTTTAGGAAATTGAATGAATTAAAAACGAGAGAAAATTTCAAAGACACGTTGCTTTTTTCTTCTACTTTTTCATCTGAGACTGAGCATGTACTTTCGCGGTTCTTATTTTAGGCAAATCTAGTCTCGGGGTTCATACAAAATAAAGTATGTTCCTTTAGGAAAAGCAAGAACTGATCTGCGATCAGTAAGACAATTCAATTCGAATTATTTAATTTTACAGTCATGTGCAAAAGTTTAAGACCACTGGAAAAAGTTGAGAAGAAACGCAATTACTTAAAAAAAGCACCATACAGTGGCGGCGCCAAGGGGTGGTATGGGGGGGGGGTATTTACCTCCCCACTTTTCTGAAAATATGGTCTATATATTTCTTCTAAAAATGGATTAAAAAGCGCTGGGTAGGGGTAGATCAAATTTCCCAAGGAAAGGGACGAATAACTGGAACGAGGCAAAAGGGGCGTGGTCACACTGGCCACGCCCTTTACCCTCCCACTTTGTAATAGCTGGCGCCGCCACTGGCACCATATATCTTTATATATTCATTTTAAATTACATATTATCATTACACATGTACTTTAAAGGTATCTATGATATATCCTTCTTTAAAATTCCAGTGAATGATTTTTTAAACAAGAAATCTTATTTCGAAATTATGAGAACCTTTGACCAAAAAGTTGGAGGGTCATGGTAGCCAACCTTCTGATAGAAGATGGTACTTGATGATAATGATCAATGAAAAAGTTTAAAAAGTTACTGACGTTAATCAAATTTCCAGGTAACAGCTTTAAACGGTATGTGTTCAAGATAAGAGATTTGCTTACGCGAATGTTGACTTGTAATGACAGAAAAAAGGAACGGGCTAGGCTCATGGACTGGCAACATATGTCTAGCCTCGATAAACAGAAAGAATTGTACTTAAGCAGGTGTCAAAGGATGTACACTCCCCTCACGAAAGTATCCGGACAGTTTCGAATTCAGTTGCGAATCTGTTGTTAGAGAAATTTGTTTACAAATTTCAGTGTCAGATTTCATGAAAAAGTTTCAATCAATTTCTTCGAATTTTTTCTTGAAGTTTTTTTGGCCTTTAATCTATGTATTCGTGGAAAAAATATAATTTTATCGATATGTAAGCAAACTCTGTGAGGGTTTTTCCTGAAGATGGTAGCGACAGAAACACATTGTATATTGCTGTCACGCATTGAATTTTGAGTGAAATACGTACATCTAAGTCATGCACGAAGCGAAAACGAATACACTCTCTTTTTAAAAGAACACGAGCCTTAAAATTGGTCAAAAGTTAAGAACAAATTAAGAACAAGCTGAGGCTGAGGTTCTGTAAAATTGAATTTTCAACGACGTTTTTTCTCAAAAACGAGGATTTTTAGCCATGTGTGGATGCTTTACGGTGAATATTCAAAATTGTCGACAAATGAAGGTTGTCTCGCACTTTAAAGAAAAGTTACAAAGCTGACATGGAAGAGCTTAATCTTGCAAATGAGGCCTGAACACCTCCCTAGATCCCTAGAGCGAAAAAACTAGCAATCACATTGCTTACACTCTATTTATTCAAGAACAAATTAAGAACAGTCCAGCCTCAGATTTTGAAAAAAATTAAGAACAGTCAGCCTGAACTTAAATTTACAAGTTCTTATAAAAAAGAGTGTAAGCACAAGAAAGGTTATCAAAATTGTACAACCTTGTTATATTTATTGTTGAAATATAGATACAAAAATATGTTTTTATCTAACTATAAACCAACGAAAGGAAAGCCCTTAATCTAATAAAGAAAACGAAAGGAGGGCTAAACAGAGCTAGAAGGCTAGAATGAAAATTTATAGAGAAATGATGAAGGTCTGGTTTTTTTCGGCTGTTATTATCGAGATAAAAGAAAGAAATAAATTTTCTCTATTTCAAATTGTTATCATGTAACCTTTCATAAAATAACCAGCGAATTTCCAGCGAGGTTCAGGCTAGCTTTCAAAACTTTCGAGGCTGGATTGTTTTTTTAGGTCGTTGTTAGTTAAACAAATTTAGTCACTCACAGTGCAGGTATTGTTTTTTTGTGATAATATTAGCAAACTATATAGGCTTAAAAAACGTAGTTCAGTTTCAAATGCGAATAATTGAAATGCGTATGTACATATGGTATGCCGGTACTTTCCTCCGCAGAGGCTATTGGAGAGGGAGATTGGGAGGGGAAAAGGATATGATAAAAGGAACTGCGGAAGAAAGAAAAAAGTGGAGGAACTGTGAGGGAGAGGGAGGAAAATAATAGCAGCAGCTCACTATTTTTCCTTTCTTCTTCTCCTCCACCCCCTCCAATTCTCCGCAGCTTCACCATTTCTCCCTACCGCAGCTTCACCATTTCTCGCTCCCCAATAGCCTCTGTGGAGGAGAGTAGTATGCCGGGGTGAAAGATTAGTTTGTTCGGATGGAGCAAATAATCGAGTGACGAGTGACGGACGTCTGCGTCAAAGACTTGCAGGTCCCGCTGTGGAAACAATTACAATCAAGCTCCCCAATAGCCTCTGTGGAGGAGAGTAGTATGCCGGGGTGAAAGATTAGTTTGTTCGGATGGAGCAAATAATCGAGTGACGAGTGACGGACGTCTGCGTCAAAGACTTGCAGGTCCCGCTGTGGAAACAATTACAATCAAGCAATATTTGTGGTATTTGATATCCGATGACACAAATTACACAATGATGCCGGAAGTTGCTTCCACTCCCTCCGCGACAGATACCTTTTGATGATGAGTGTAGAGCTCACATACCGAAATCGTTGAGAAGCATCCAGACACTATTCCTGACAGCTTTCTAATTCATGGGCACCATGAAGGTTTTAATATTTTTGCTATGCTTGGTGTGTCTTGCCGCATCTCAAATTCCTCAAAGTCGTTTGAAGCCCAGGCCAGTGACAAAGAAAACATTTGCTGCAACATCAGACTTCGCCTTTGACTTGCTATGCTTGGTGTGTCTTGCCGCATCTCAAATTCCTCAAAGTCGTTTGAAGCCCAGGCCAGTGACAAAGAAAACATTTGCTGCAACATCAGACTTCGCCTTTGACTTGTACACAGATGGCTCGAAAAATGTCTTCTTTTCGCCTCTCAGTGTCTACATCGCTCTTGGAATGCTCAAAGCTGGTGCCAAATCAACGACAAATCTCGAGATGGAAAAGGCAATGAACTGGCAAAAACTAGTGGAAGGTTATGGATCAAATAATGGCCATGAAGCGATCGAGCGCCTCCTGTCTGATGTGTTTGCCCCTCTCGAAAAAAACAACACCCTTAGTGTAGCTAACAAGCTTTGGTTGCAGAAATACTTTTGCCCAACTCAATGTGACAATTTCATCAACATTTTAAAGAAAAGTTACAAAGCTGACATGGAAGAGCTTAATTTTGCCATCCACGCCGAGAAATCGAGAGAAGAAATCAATAAATGGGTAGCGGAAAAGACAAACCAGAAGATCAAGGATTTACTGCCTAAAGGCACTGTGAATGCACTTACGAGGTTTGTTCTGACCAACGCAATCTATTTCAAAAGCAACTGGATGCACGCGTTTGACGAAAAGAGCACTTCACAGCGAAGTTTCTCCACATACGTAGGAGACGAGGGAGAAATCCAAAAAACGGTTTCAACAATGTATCAGACTGAACAATTTAGGTTTTCTGGATTCTTGCCAGCATCAAGGTATGAGGTTTTGGAGATGCCATACGAAGGGGAGAAAATATCCATGGTTGTGGTGGTGCCAAAAACCCGCGAGGATTTCAACAACATGGAAAAAACAATCTCATCTATTGATCTGAACAGAATGTTGAAAGAATTATACGAATTCCCCCCGTCGAAGCTCGATGTCCAAATGCCGAAATTTAAAGTTAACACAAAATTGGATTTGAAGGGACTTCTTTACAAGATGGGAATGCGTGACGTTTTCAACCCCAGGACCGCTGATTTGTCAGGGATAACGGGTTACAGAGGCATGTATGTATCCAACGCCATCCACAAGGCCTATGTAAATGTTGACGAAAAAGGCACGGAAGCAGCAGCTGCAACCGGAATTACAATCGAGCTTGCCAGTTTACCGTTCCAGTTTCTGGTGAACCGGCCGTTCATATACATGATCCGCCACGTGGAGACGAACACGATCCTGTTCATGGGACGTGTTATGGACCCTACAGCAGAGTAAATAATCGCGGACACTAAAGAACTTACTTTGCATTTAGTTCTTCAATCACACGATTATAAACGTAGCCGTTTTCAATTTTGTATTTTTTTAATATACATTGAATTGTTTGCCTGAATGTTTTGCTAAAAATCTTTCGTTTTGCTAAAAAATAAGAACTTCATTAGGAGAATTACAATTAGTTTGCTACTAATAAACTTGACTGGTGTTTGCAAATTGCTCGGTCACAGATAATGTTTGGTTCATTTTCGTTCAAAGTTTACAGGACAAGAATCAGATTGCTTTCGAAATGTTTTTGTCAAGTACCGAAAGTCTTTATTTCAGTAATTCCGATTTTGATAATGTCCGGTTCAAAATCAGCACGGAAGTGCAGAAACATATCATACTTATCAGAAACATATCAGGAAAGTTGCACTCTTAAAAAGTTACAAGAAATCAAAGGCCTTTTTGAAAAAATTCCTTATCACGCAGCCAATTTTGCTTGTACGGGAAGATCAACAAAATAGTGCTACATATTTTGTTCACAATTTTGATTTCCAGTAACGAAAAATATGACATTTAACGCTTTGTTCTCAACTGATGTCCGCTGCGGGATTATCATGCGTTGTACTGTTGTCTCAAAAGTCTGTACCGTTAATTCTCGAATAAGCCCCCACCTTTGAATAAGCCCCCATAGGCTGAGGTACTGCGTCGTCAGCAAAAGGTCTATTTTTATGCAAATTTTATCCAGGCGATGCTTTGGCTCTGTGGTGTAGTGTTATCAAAATAACAAGGGGGGCTCTTGCTCAAAATGTTGCGAAAAACAATAGCAAAAGTAGAAATTTGCCGATTTTTGGCATTGACAAGGATGCTCAGCCTCCCTGAGCCCTCCCTAGCACTACGTCCTAGCTTTCGCTGCTGCTAAATAAGCCTCCTCCCTTCGAAAAATGCCCCATGCTATAATTGTGCCGCAATATGAATATATGAATACGAAAGAGCCCGCCAAATTTTTTGCCAAATAAGCCCCAAGGGCCTATTCGAGGACTTACCACTGATCTAAAAAAAGATCAGTGGGACTTACACGAGGAAGTATAAATGTCACTTAGGCCTTTGTAATCTGGTCTTTTATTTGGCTTGGCAATTATTTATGATCTGCGTTAACTGTCCATTGTAGAGGTGACATGGCATTGTATGGAAGTGACATGACAAGACGTTATCTGGAGGTATTTGCTTTTGGACGGTGTCCGTTTTTGGACGGTGTCAGTTTTTGGACGGTGTCCGTTTTTGGACGGTGTCCGCTTTTGGACGGTGTCCGTTTATGGAACGTGTACTTTATTTGGGGTGTCCGTTATTGGAAAATGTCCGTTACTGGGAAGTGTCAGTTATAAAGAGGGGTCGGCCAAATGAGGCACGCCGCATATCTGATTTAACCCACCCCTTTTTATATTAATACCAGAGAGGATGTTCGCCTTAAAAAAATGACAAGAAAAAAGATGCACTTGATTTGAGCAAACTTGCGCCTAGCCTTGTCTTCTGTAAACTCTGAACTTGAAACGGGGGTGTTCATGTCGACCAGTTTTCAATAGAAGGGGGTACTAATAGAACGGGGTGTTCATGTCGACAAGTTTCAATTGAAGAGGTTTGCTAATAGAAGAAGGTGTTCAGGTTGGCCAATTTTCAATAAAATGTCAGCAAATTTAAATAGCAAAGGGGAGCTAATAGAAGGAGTAGATGTTGGTAAATCTTTTAATTAAAAGGCAGTGTCTTAGGAGGATTTCCCTCAATTTACGCGTTTCGTACTCATAGACGGGAGTCTAATCTTTTTTATAAATCACATAGTTTTTCATTCAATTTTCTGCGTGTCCTGGTCATGACAGATTTGTAAAATTTAATATAAGGTGGGTGTGCTAATAAGCGACAGGGGGCAGGGCAAATTCTTCTGAAATCAATACACGGGGAGCCCGTCTATTAGAGACACTGGAGTATAAACGTCTGGTTATGTTCAAAATTAAGAAGATAATTTACATCAATAGAAATCAACGAGGAAGGAAGAACGACTTGATGGTTTGGTCCTTAATTTTTGACCAATCTCAGTAGTTGGCCCTATATTTCTCGCCTAGTTGAAGTGTCTTAGAGGGAAAAGGAACCTTCTCTATCTACATAACAGGGCCGCTGGAGCTAGGGACGCCACGGGGGCACAGCCCCCCTCCCTGATTGCAAAAAGTGAAAAAGTCTCCCTTTTTGAAGAGTATATTGCGTGTAGTTCACTGCCAGATATTCTGCCTTTAGAAGGTAAGTAAAATAATCTAAATCTAAGCATTGTTGGAGAACTATTCACTGTAATTTTCATAAGTTCTTGATGCAAATATACTTCATGGTGCAGATGGTCACGATGCAAAAGGCGCAGGCTCCGGTGATGAACAGTATCATCAACTGGCAAGGAGACTGCCAAGAAGACTTGGGCGAGAAAAATATCCTTAGTATGTCTTTAGCAACAAAGTCTAAGGAGAGTTAAATAATGTCCCGAAGACGACCTAACCACTGCATATGATTCTTTCGATTAACAAAGAAAAGACTGTTGAGATAAACCTAATCAACGTTGCAAATTAATTTTGCTTTGGCAGTGAAAACGTGCCAGCACCTTCGGCCAATCGCGTGAAGATGACTTGAACTTGAAATTTTGTAAAATAATTTTTAAAAAAGATTTCCTGGAGGGGAAAAGAATTATGTGCTTTAAGTGGCGTAGGGATGGAAAGGGCACTAAATTGCTTAAATGTAAAAAAAAATTTAAATTATTGTTCGAATAGCCTTTAGATAATCATAGAGACTGAAACTTTGAAAGAGATAGGGACTAAAATTCGCTTTGACTTAGATAGAGATTCGAAAATTCCTTTCAGCTCCTTACATCGTAATTTTGGTCTAAACTTTAAAAGTTTTTTGCATGTATGATTGCATCAATGTGGATTCATTGTTATGTTGCAATAAATCTGAACATTTGTTGAGTATATTGCACCTGCCACAAATATAGGGGAAGGATATGTGTCTGCCGCTTAACCAAATTATAAGAAAATTACGTACAACGTATTGTGATAGAAATATAAATGAGATGAGGAGTTATACAGTCAATTATGATCAGGAGTCCGTGGTCCCTAAATCGAGTACATAGCCATGTCTGCGTTCAGGGAAGATAGTTCATACTATATGCAATGTGTGTTATTCTTTTATAAATGTCTAAATTACCGTAATTTAATTACCATGAAAGCTGTGGCATTTTTGGCACATGATAATGATTTGGAAAAATGTTTGTGCCCTTTTTGTTCGTTTTAGCCCTCCCCCCCCTGTTAAAACCTGCGTCTGGCGGCCCTGTATAGGTCGGAATCCTATACAGAATCCAAAACACCTAAACGAAAAGACGACCTTGCTTGACCAAAGATTTTAAAATTGCAAGCATTATGTGTTTTGGTGCACACTGGATGTTGAAAAGTAAATGTTGACCTGTAGTCGAATCACATATTTGGGCTTTCGCTTTCTCTCTTTGACTCTTCAACAAGGTGAGAAATTAGCGGCCGCGATTCGCATCTGAATATAAATTTCCTGCTTATCCTTTTGCAATTATCCGACCTTTATACTCTGAAGATATGGTATGTTTCTTCTCTTCCTTGCAAAATTCTAACTGGAGATTATGAAAATCGGATTTGTGGAAAAAGAAAAATTTTGTTACATGACAAAAACATTTCGAAAGCAATCTGATTCTTGCCCTGTAAACTTTAAACGAAAATGAACCAAAAATTTTCTGTGACCGAGTTATTCGGAACCAACCGTTTTAGAACCGCATACAGTTGAATGGGGTCGGTATTGTTGCAACGGTTGGGTGTATGCAGGCTACGTTGTAGCTCGGAAATCCAGCCAATCAACATTGGCGAATCTGCCACGGGCCCCTCCGGATTAACTGTTTTTATCATAGTGGAACAGCTAACACTCTGTTTGATTGCAAGGAAGAAAAACTATCATTTCAGAGAGTGAGCATCGAGGGGAATGTCTAAATCCAGCAACATGGAAACCGCTATATTAATTGCTGTTCTTTGTGCAGTGATTTTACCAGTGCATTTCGTGGTGTCACAAGACTCTGAACATTCGTTCTATGCGGCAAATGAATTCGCAGTTAACTTTTACTGCAAGCTAGCGACCGTTCATAATGAGACGGAGAATCTCTTGTTTTCGCCACTCACTACTTACACAGCTCTTGGGATGCTTAAGGCTGGCTCAAAGACTACAACTGCTCTCCAACTTGAAAATGCTTTGAACTGGCAAAGATTCGTTGATGGATATGGAACGAATAATGGCGATGAGGCAATTAAGCATCTTCTTACCGAGGTGTTCGCCCCTCTTCAACCAAACAACACCCTGAGTGTAGCGAACAAGCTATGGCTGCAAGAGTACTTTTGCACAGTTCGATGTAATGATTACATAAAGAGAATAGAGAAAAACTTCAATGCTGGTATGGAAGAACTTAACTTTGTCACACATCCGGAAAAATCGAGGCAAGAAATCAATAAATGGGTTGCGGAAAAGACAAATCAGAAATTTCAAGACCTTCTTCCCAAAGAAAGCGTTGACGTGTACACAAGACTTGTTCTGACTAGTGCTGTACACTTCAAAAACCTTTGGAAGTATAGCTTTGACAAGAAGAATACTACGATGCAAGATTTTACCAAGTATATTGGCGATAGGTCTCAAAAAGTTAAAGTTCCAATGATGCACCAGCAAGGCGTCTTTCGCTCATATCGTTCCGTTGTCAAGTCTCCATACGAGGTGTTGGATATCCCAATTGTAGCCGAACTTTCAATGGTAATAATTATGCCGAAAACAAATGATCTGTTTCGAAGAATGCAAAAAGACCTCCGGTTTGTTGATGTCGATCAAATGCTACAAGAACTGTACGTTTTTCCTCCTTCAGTCATGGAAATCTATTTGCCAAGATTCAGAATTTCAGACAAGTTCGATTTGAAAGATAGCCTCAAGAATATGTTGGGGATAAAATATTTATTCAGTTCACAAAATGCTGACCTGTCCGGTATCACGGGCTATAGAGGCCTTTTCGTCACTCATGCTGTCCACGAGGCAGCCATCGATGTCGATGAAGAGGGGGCCCAACCAGCAAGCAGTGATTTTGATGGGGTTGGTCCTGCCAAATCTGTCCGCTCTTACTTTCGTGTAAACAAACCGTTTATTTTCCTGATTCGCCACAAGCCAACACATACTATTTTGTTTATGGGTTGTGTCATGGACCCTTTGGCTTAAAGGATACAACTCTTTCTAAATCATTTTCGTCTTAATTAGTGGAACAATCATTCACTAAATGTGCTTCAATTTTCTATGCAAATCATAATATTTATCAGTATTTACTCAAATTATTTATCCTTTACATCGTGGATTTCTTTATTTTTAATCTTTAGTATGTAATGTCAAATGCAAAGACACCAGTTCTTGAATATCCTAATCAATTCTTGGAAGGGTGGCGTGTTTGCTAGAAGCTACTTTCAATAACCTGTATCGCAATCTCATTTGCTTAGGTACTGTACAGACATCAGTCATCAAACCTGCATGTTGCTTGCCTAGAAGCAGGCAGTTTCATGAACTTCAAAAATCAACAAACATTTCATACATATTGCATGAAATTCTTCTCGTAAGTTCCGTCCAGTCTTTCAGGCTTTAATCATTGAAACTGTAAAAGTCCGCAGAATTTAAAACTTTTCAGAAATCATTTCGGCAAAAAAGGGCCCTGGGACAGTATGGGCTCAACTAAGGCATCAGTGTTCGCTTGCAGTGTATGTATATATGTATGTTAATTTTGTCACCCTAGGGGGAAACATGTTCCATCTGGGATTTAGTGTTCCAGGTAAGGAACACATTCTACCTCGTTTTATTAACAGGAGGATTGAGAAAAAGAAGAGAGGAGATAAATCTTTCCTCTCTTATATTACTGTAAATTGAATCATGTAGAATGAATTAAATCAAGTTCAGGCAGGAAAATGTTATTAAAGAAGATGTTTTTTTTAAAAAGTTAAATTAACAACAGTTTTCAGTTCTATGTATTGCCCTCAAAAAAAACCTCACAGGACATATTTGAAGATATATGGCGCTGGTTCCAAATAAAGACAGATTTTGCCCAAAAAAGGCTTCTTTTTTTACACGAGATCACGACTTCTGCATCAAACAAGGGCCAGTTACAGGGAAAATCAAGAGATGAAACTGGAGATATACAAAAGGGGAACTTGGAGACCCAGACCCGTGTTGAAAGCTCTAGATGGAGCAAGGGAGAAGGCTGTGTTGTGTGGGAAATTTTGAACCTTAGAGCACTGAGAAAAGAAACCGATGAAATTCGGCATTAAGGTAAAGGTTTCTTAAGGGAGAAAATAAAAGATACACAATTGGTAAATGCTAAGACTAAGAGCCCTGGAAAAAGAAAGTTGAGCGTGGGAAAATTGGAGAAGAGGGTTCTTGGGAGATAGAATAAAGAAAGCGAAATTAGGAAATTGTAAAGCCTAGAGCACTGAAAAAGGAAACCGATGGTATTGGGAATTGAGGTAAAGGTTTCTCAAGGGAGAGAATAAAAAATACAAAATTGGTAAATGCTAAGGCTAAGAGCCCTGGAAAAAGAAAGTTGAACATGGGAAAATTGGAGAAGAGGGTTCTTGGGAGATAGAATAAAGAAAGCGAAATTAGGGAATTGTAAAGCCTAGAGCACTGAGAAAGGAAACCGATGGTATTGGGAATTGAGGTAAAGGTTTCTCAAGGGAGAGAATAAAAAATACAAAATTGGTAAATGCTAAGACTAAGAGCCCTGGAAAAAGAAAGTTGAACGTGGGAAAATTGGAGAAAAGGGTTCTTGGGAGATAGAATAAAGAAAGCGAAATTAGGAAATTGTAAAGCCTAGAGCACTGAGAAAGGAAACTGATGGTATTGGGAATTGAGGTAAAGGTTTCTCAAGGGAGAAATAAAAAATACAAAATTGGTAAATGCTTAGACTAAGAGCCCTGGAAAAAGAAAGTTGAATGTGGGAAAATTGGAGAAAAGGGTTCTTGGGAGATAGAATAAAGAAAGCGAAATTAGGAAATTGTTAAGCCTAGAGCACTGAGAAAGGAAACTGATGGTATTGGGAATTGAGGTAAAGGTTTCTCAAGGGAGAAATAAAAAATACAAAATTGGTAAATGCTTAGACTAAGAGCCCTGGAAAAAGAAAGTTGAATGTGGGAAAATTGGAGAAAAGGGTTCTTGGGAGATAGAATAAAGAAAGCGAAATTAGGAAATTGTAAAGCCTAGAGAATTGAGAAAGGAAACCGATGGTATTGGGAATTGAGGTAAAGGTTTCTCAAGGGAGAAATAAAAAATACAAAATTGGTAAATGCTTAGACTAAGAGCCCTGGAAAAAGAAAGTTGAATGTGGGAAAATTGGAGAAAAGGGTTCTTGGGAGATAGAATAAAGAAAGCGAAATTAGGAAATTGTAAAGCCTAGAGCACTGAGAAAGGAAACCGATGGTATTGGGAATTGAGGTAAAGGTTTCTCAAGGGAGAGAATAAAAAATACAAAATTGGTAAATGCTAAGACTAAGAGCCCTGGAAAAAGAAAGTTGAACATGGGAGAATTGGAAAAGAGGGTTCTTGGAGATAGAATAAAGAAAGCGAAATTAGGAAATTGTAAAGCCTAGAGCACTGAGAAAGGAAACCGATGGTATTGGGAATTGAGGTAAAGGTTTCTCAAGGGAGAGAATAAAAAATACAAAATTGGTAAATGCTAAGACTAAGAGCCCTGGAAAAAGAAAGTTGAACATGGGAGAATTGGAAAAGAAGGTTCTTGAGAGATAGAATAAAGTAAGCGAAATTAGGAAATTGTAAAGCCTAGAGCACTGAGAAAGGAAACCGATGGTATTGGGAATTGAGGTAAAGGTTTCTCAAGGGAGAGAATAAAAAATACAAAATTGGTAAATGCTAAGACTAAGAGCCCTGGAAAAAGAAAGTTGAACGTGGGAAAATTGGAGAAGAGGGTTCTTGGGAGATAGAATAAAGAAAGCGAAATTAGGAAATTGTAAAGCCTAGAGCACTGAGAAAGGAAACCGATGGTATTGGGAATTGAGGTAAAGGTTTCTCAAGGGAGAAATAAAAAATACAAAATTGGTAAATGCTAAGACTAAGAGCCCTGGAAAAAGAAAGTTGAACGTGGGAAAATTGGAGAAGAGGGTTCTTGGGAGATAGAATAAAGAAAGCGAAATTAGGAAATTGTAAAGCCTAGAGCACTGAGAAAGGAAACCGATGATATTGGGAATTGAGGTAAAGGTTTCTCAAGGGAGAGAATAAAAAATACAAAATTGGTAAATGCTAAGACTAAGAGCCCTGGAAAAAGAAAGTTGAACGTGGGAAAATTGGAGAAGAGGGTTCTTGGGAAATAAAATAAAGAAAGCGAAATTAGGGAATTGTAAAGCCTAGAGCACTGAGAAAGGAAACCGATGGTATTGGGAATTGAGGTAAAGGTTTCTCAAGGAAGAGAATAAAAAATACAAAATTGGTAAATGCTAAGACTAAGAGCCCTGGAAAAAGAAAGTTGAACGAGGGAAAATTGGAGAAGAGGCTTCTTGGGAGATAGAATAAAGAAAGCGAAATTAGGAAATTGTAAAGCCTAGAGCACTGAGAAAGGAAACAGATGATATTGGGAATTGAGGTAAAGGTTTCTCAAGGGAGAGAATAAAAGATACAAAATTGGTAAATGCTAAGACTAAGAGCCCTGGAAAAAGAAAGTTGAACGTGGGAAAATTGGAAGAGAGGGTTCTTGAGAGATAGAATAAAGAAAGCGAAATTAGGAAATTGTAAAGCCTAGAGCACTGAGAAAGGTAACCGATGGTATTGGGAATTGAGGTAAAGGTTTCTCAAAGGAAAGAATAAAAAATACAAAATTGGTAAATGCTAAGACTAAGAGCCCTGGAAAAAGAAAGTTGAACGTGGGAAAATTGGAGAGGAGGGTTCTTGTGAGATAGAATAAAGAAAGCGAAATTAGGAAATTGTAAAGCCTAGAGCACTGAGAAAGGAAACTGATGGTATTGGGAATTGAGGTAAAGGTTTCTCAAAGGAGAGAATAAAAAATACAAAATTGGTAAATGCTAAGACTAAGAGCCCTGGAAAAAGAAAGTTGAACGTGGGAAAATTGGAGAGGAGGGTTCTTGTGAGATAGAATAAAGAAAGCGAAATTAGGAAATTGTAAAGCATAGAGCACTGAGAAAGGAAACCGATGGTATTGGGAATTGAGGTAAAGGTTTCTCAAGGAAGAGAATAAAAAATACTAAATGGGTAAATGCTAAGACTAAGAGCCCTGGAAAAAGAAAGTTGAACGTAAGAAAATTGGAGAAGAGGGTTTTTGGTAGATAGAATAAAGAAAGCGAAATTAGGAAATTGTAAAGCCTAGAGCACTGAGAAAGTAAACCGATGGTATTGGGAATTGAGGTAAAGGTTTCTCAAGGGAGAGAATAAAAAATACAAAATTGGTAAATGCTAAGACTAAGAGCCCTGGAAAAAGAAAGTTGAACATGGGAGAATTGGAAAAGAAGGTTCTTGAGAGATAGAATAAAGTAAGGCCGAAATTAGGGAATTGTAAAGCCTAGAGCACTGAGAAGGAAAGATGATATTGGGATTGAGGTAAAGGTTTCTCAAAGGGAGAGAATAAAGTAAAATAGAGTAAATGTAAGACTAAAGACCTGGAAAAAGAAAGGTTTGAACGGGGAAATTGGAGAAGAAGGGTTTTGGGAGATAGAATAAAGAAGCGAAATTAGGAAATATGTAAAGCCTAGAGCACTGAGAAAGGAAACGCATGGTATTGGGATTGTGGTAAAGGTTTTCAGGGAGAGAATAAAAATACAAAATTGGTAAAATTATAGACTAAGAGCCCTGAAAGAAGTTGAATGGGGAGAATTGGAGAAAGAGGTTCTTGAGAGTAGAATAAGTAAGCAGGAAATTAGGGAAATGATAACATGTGCCTAGAGCACTGAAGAAAGGAAACAGTGTATTAGGATTAGTAGAGGTAATGAGTTTCTCAAGGGAGAGAAAAAATAAAAATTGGTAATTAATGAACTAAGGCTGTAGAATTAAGAAAGAAAGAACATGAGTAGAGAGATATGAGAAAAGAAGGTATCTTGAGGAAGCTAGAATCAGAAGAACGTGAAATCTAGGAAAATTGTAAAGTGCCCTAGAGACTTGAGAAAAGGAAACACGATGGATATTGGAATTGAGGTAAAGGTTTCTCAGGAGAGAAATAAAGAATACAAAATTGTAAATGCTATAGACAAGAGCCTAGAGAAGAGAAGAAGCTTGACAGGGAGAAATATAGGAGAGAAGGGTTTTGGGAGCTAGAATAAAGAAAGCGAAATAAGGAATTTGTAAAGTCCTAAGAGCATGAGAAACA